CATTTTATCAATTAACTGCCTGTCTCCTGATTCCCATGGCAACACAATAGGCTGTTGAATTTCTGATTCCTTTGGCAGTCAGGGTGCCTGGCATGCGTCTCAGGAGCAGCGAGATCACAAAAGGTTTCTGCAGGGAGTAGGAAATACGTGGGTAACGCTCGCTGTGCACCGCTTCTCATGCTAAACTATTTTCCTCTTCCCTCCTCCCCTTCCGAAACAAGTTTCCTTTCTCCCTTTTGTTTCCATTACCCAGTGATAAGAAATGAGCAACCGGAGTGCTGCGGGAGGTCGAAAGGCACGGAGGGAGCGAGAGGATGCCCTGGTCTTGTTGGATGGGGATGGCTCCCAAACGTGGCACGAGGCTGTGTCTCTTCAGGGATCCTGCACCTGAGGGTTATTCCTGCTGCTGCTGCAGGGTGATTGCTCCGTTCCTTCTGCTTCAACTTTCACTTCTCAACTTTTCTGTTTGCAAGGGGTTTCTCACTCCTGTACCTGTACAGAGCTGCCTTGCTACGGCAGGCGCTTCCAAGAGCTGGATGTGCCCACCTCCTGCTCGCAGGAGTCCTTGTGCTCCCAGGGGCTTCAGACACGGGGCTTTCATTGACGCTGTGACAACAGCCATGCGAGCAGGCTGGAGCCTCAATTTAATCCTTTAGCCTCTCCAGTTCCCAGCTCAGAGGAATTTGTCTGGCTCCTGAAGTGCTGGGGGCTGAACCATTGGGGTGCCCTGTTGGTGCTGGTCCCTAACCAGACAGAAAGGCCCCAAGGGCCGGGTCTGCTGTACGTGTTACTGACCTGTCACGTGCAGGCTTAACAAAAGCTGAAGGGGAAGCAGAGATTTAGGGTTGGATAAGCATGTGCGTTTACTGGGCGCCGTGCTTGACTTTGATTTATAAATTGTTGTTCGGCCCTGAAAGCTGTGACCTACAGGAAGACCATTTAAACTGCAAAGAATGAGCTGGCTGACGAGCACAATAGGGTTGTAAAGCTGGAAAGCCCGAGTGGAAGAGATCCCACATGGTGTGTGTTATACCTCAGAGCCTGTGGTACGTGTGAGAGGGAGGGAGGAGCTGTCACAGTCCTGTCCTGCAAGCAGGGCTTGTGCTGGACAGAGCAGCGAAGAGAGGCAGCGATCCCCTGGGCGATGGGGGGAGAGCTCTCTGTGCTGCTGGGTTCAACGCCCAGCAGGGACACTCGGACAGTCCCCGTGGCTTCTTGCTCAGCCTCACCAGGGACCTGCTGAAAGGTGGGTGGGAACAGAAAAAATCAATCTGTGTTTTGTTTCTCTCATTCCTCTGCTGTAACTCCGTGCTCAGCTTTGTACCTGAGATCAGGAGCTCTGCTTTAGCAACTTCTCTTGGAACTTGTTTGTGCTGAGTTGGTGGGTCCGGCCAGAGCAGGAAGGCTTTTCTAATCCAGAAACAGCACCCAAGTGACACAGGCAGAGACCAGCTGTTAGGTACCTATGGGCTGAGGAGACCTCGGGAGCTGTGGACACCGGGGTGGCTTTCCTCTGAGCTGCCCTAGGAGGGGACAACTCCAGCTGTCAGGTCCTGGAGGGCAGTGCTGCGAGCTAGCACCAGTGCCTACTGCCGGCTGATTTCTGCCGTAGGCTATTCTAAAATACTCTTGGGATCAAAGACACATTGCTCATTGCTGCATTTTGTCTTCTTAAGGGCTGGTGCCAAGATACCTGGCTGGGAGGATCAGGGCTTGGTTGTTGTGTGGCCATGTAATTAATGGGTCCGCCAGACCTGAAACCTGGAAGGATGGCTTTGGTTGGACCACTGTGACTTGTTACTTCTCTGGAAACTTAGTGCACAGAACCTGTTAGCTGTACCATAGGAAAATTGGTGGCTTAGTAATTATTTTATACGTGGGTAATGAAGGCCATGTAAAATACCAAGTTCCTGCTGTGTGGCCATAATGAAGAAGGTGATCTTCCTGGCAGTTCTTAATTTCAACACTCTTTTTGAATTGTTTGGCCTCGTGCTAAAGAACTATAAAGAATTAATAATGCTGCTGACTGCACCGCTCTGCTTGGGAGCCTGTAATTCAGCTGCTTCCCTGCAATGGTGTCATTACTGCAGCTTGGCAGCCCTGCCTGTTGGGCAGGCACCTAAAATGAACAAAGTCCCACTAAAATTTTGGCTTTATGGGGAACACTATGCAGCACAAAGAGTCCAGCTAACTCCTCTTTTTTTTTTTTTTTTTTTCCCTGTCCAAGCCAGTTTTTGAAGGTGGCTGCTCTTACGGTGAGTCTGGATGTGGTTTTAAATTCTGCTGCAGTGCTTGTTGAGCCCCGGGGCAGCCTTCCTGCCTTGCTTTGCTTTAGCTTCGCTGCTGAAGGGTTAGGTTATCCCAGCCGTTTTACAGAGGTGTTTGTGAGAGCTAATGTAGGCTCTATCTTGATCGTTAACGAACAGAGCTAATAAAGATTCCTAGGGCTCCACTAGGGCTAGAAAAACAGCTTTGATCTTTTGTGAACTCAGATGCAGCCCGTCCAAAATTTCAGTGCTTTTAGTCCCCCGGACAGCAGAGTTCAGCTTGCTGTTCTGCTTGGCACGTCGCGTGTGTCTGCCGCAAACATGTCAGCAGCGTGAGATCTGGGGATTACAACACTGCTGAGCGTGAAACCAGGACCTAAGCTGTGTTTCTCATTTACTTCGCATACATAGAAAAGGGGAGAGAGTAAGTACACGTCACAGACACTGGTGATAAAAACCCTACAGCCATACCTGGCTATTAAAATGAAAGACTGACTTTAAAGTGTACCTTGCTGGCTCCTAATCTAGCTGCTTGACTGTCTTGTGCTCATAGGGGTTGAAATGAAAATGGTAGCATAAGGTTCTGCTTATGGCTGTCTTTATGGCTCACCTGGATGGAGCCATGTTTCCTTTTCCATCTTTGTTATTTAAAGTCTTTACTGAAGATCACAAGTCCTAAGCATCCTTATAATCTGTGTTTGTTTTTCGTTTTTTAATGTGAACTTGGTTCTTGGATGTAAAGCCGTCCCCTCTAATGGAGCTCCTTTTGGTGTATTGCTTTTTAAAGGATTGAGAGGACAGGCAGCTGCCAAAATAAGAAGTTAATGAATATTTGAGGTTGAGGAAACTTTCAGGGCAGGACCCTAAGGTGAAGAGAAGGCAGCTGAGGGACAACGACACAGCCTTCTCCCAGGAAGCTGGCTGGGCTCTGTTGGGAGCACCGCACACAGCTACTGCTGAGCTTTCCAGGTGGGAATGGCATTTGTGGCACTGCCCTTCCTGTGCTGGGGTGAGTTTTATGGGACTTGTTCTGGCCAAGTGGTGCTGCTGAGGCTGAAGTTAGAGCATACCCTGGAGCAGGGAAGTCTGGCGAACTTTCTCAGGCTGTTAAAGCTCTGGTTCACCAAGCCTGGTGAGCTGCTGGGGGTGATGCCTTCAGGAACCGTGAATGAGCTGGTGCAATTGTGCTGCACAGATTTAAGTGCTGACTCCGGAGTCTAATGACAACTGAAGTGTCAATAGTAATCTCTCTTAATGCAGCTGCTTTAGCAAAAACTGTGAGTTCTTCATATTAACACTGAAGCACTGGTGCTCTTTTCTTTCCCCTGGCATTAAACCTTTAGCAAAGCTTGAAGTGTCCTGCTTTGAGAGCATTTATGCTCTTTGGCCTTTCTAGGAGCTGGGCTTGATCCGTCAGGCCTGTTACTTTCTGGAAGAGCTGGAGCAGTGGTGCAGGCTGAGCAGTGGTGATGGCTGAGCAAATGTCACAGCCCACCCCCTAGGTCAGCTATAGGGGAGAAGCACGCTTAGGATCTCAGTGCTGCCAGGTGCTGAGGATGACCACAGGTCTAGGGTATAAGTCTTGCTGGATCTTAACTTGCAAGCTTATTTTCTCGGTCTGTGTGGTTTCTTTTAGGGCTTTACTTAGCATTACCCACCCCCTGTCTCTGGGCTTAAGAGTGGTTTAATGAAGTCCATATGCTCTTTATTTTAGTTCCCCTGGGACCCAGACGGAAAGCACAACGTTTGTGATCGTTTGACCCTGGGGTCAGCAAGCGCGGGGTCACTGCGAGCTTGTTTGCTTGGGCTTTGTTACCCTTCAGATGCCAGCCACATACTTAAGGGTCTCATTTTGTACTGCTGAAAGTTTGGCCCATCCTAGGAAAGAGCAGCCGGGACAGGGAGTTTACAACAGCATCTGCAGCTTTCCTCCTCCTAGCAAAGCCTATCTGGAGCCGCTGCTGTGTGGGGATGAGCGTTCCCTCTCGCAGGTTTGCCTGAGTTCTGTGTGCTGAGCCTCGGCCCTGGAAGGGCCATCCGGGCTTAGAGGGGTTTGTAGATGTTTCCTGTTTATCGATGCTCTGTTTATATTGAGCATACCCCAGGTGTCTGCTTGCTGCTGGGCTCTGCTCTGCGCAGGGAATATCAGCAGCTGGGAGAAGCAAGCAATGCGTGCAGGCAGCTGCGTGGTCCCACGGGGCTGTTATTGCCCTCCAACGGGACACACAGTGCCTGGGTTAACTGCTTGCCTGCATCCACACCTGGGGAGCTCTGAACACCCACTGAAACATCAAAGCTTGCTTTTTTGGGGGATAAAAGTGTAACTTGGGCATCTTTCTTTGAGCAGTCCCCTTGGATCCTTAGGTACCTACCTCCACTCCTGTCCTGGTGAGCCTATTTACACCAGCACTGCCACACAGAATATCCTTCAGTGCTGTGGAGGGACTGGGAATAAATGCACTTTATGAAGGGGATAAAGACATGGTATTGCTTCTGTTTTGTGTGTGAGATCTGCAGAAATGGGACAGCACATTGCAGTTTGCACAGAAATCTCATTTCTGCCAAGAAGATGTGTATGAACTGGGGTCGCTCAGGTTCCAACTCCTGCCTGGTGTAAGGCTGCAACCTGAGCCATGGTCCCAGGTGTTTCCTTTTTGTGAATGTCCCTTCCTGGTGTTGTAGCTGCCTTTAGGATTTCTCCTCATGCCCAATCCTCTCTTCCCTCACTCACAGGCTCGCCCTTACACAAGCAGGGCACCACCTCCACCACCAGCGCCGAGAAGTCGGGCTCAAAAGTCGCCGAGGTGGGCGACGACTTCCTGGGAGACTTCGTGGTGGGAGAACGCGTCTGGGTGAATGGAGTGAAGCCAGGAGTGATCCAGTACCTCGGGGAGACGCAATTTGCTCCGGGCCAGTGGGCAGGGGTCGTTCTGGATGACCCGGTGGGTAAGAATGACGGCTCGGTCGGTGGAGTGCGTTACTTCGAGTGCCAGCCGCTGCAGGGCATCTTCACGCGACCGTCCAAGCTGACGCGGCAGCCGGTGGCCGAGGGCTCGGGGAGCGACGCGCCCTCCGTGGACTCTCTGACGGCCCAGAACTTGTCGCTGCACTCGGGGACAGGCCACGCCGCCCCTCTCCACCCGCGTCATCCCCCTGCGGGAGAGCGTCCTCAACAGCGCCATGAAGACGGGCAACGAGTCCGGATCGAACCTCTCGGACAGCGGGTCTGTGAAAAAGGGGGAGAAGGACCTACGGCTTGGAGATCGCGTGCTGGTGAGTCGGTTGTGGGGCCTTCCTTGGAAAGTGAAGGGCTGAATTTGTCTCCTCCTTGTTTGGGGCGAGTTAAAAGGGTGGCAGAGTTGGTGGTGAGCTGTGGGGCAGCGTGTGGTCTTGGAAAAGGGGTGCTTGGGCCAGGCAGGCTTTGAACTTCTGCATTAGTTGTTATTTGGGATGCTGTGTCTTGTGGGCATGCCTCTTTTTGACATTGATACGAGAGTGCTTTTTGTGTTGGGTAAGTCCTGAGCAGTGGAGTGGCAGCAGAGATCCCACTCAAATGCTAGAGGGAAATAGAGGATTATTCTGTCCCAATGGTTATCATCGTCTGTCCCTGTGATATTCTCTATAATGGTGTGTGCTGGAGCTTTTGGGGAGTTAGCAGTAGTGTCTTGTTGGTCACGCTCTGCAAGGGTTTGCAGGAATCTCATGGCTGATCCCTCCCCTTCTGGTGCTTCAGTTCCTAAGATGCTGGATATGATGGTAATTCCTTTCCCATACAGAAAGAAACTTACAATTATTTTTTTTTAAGGGTTGAACTTTGGGGGAAACCGTACAGATGGATGGGTTACCCACCTCTGATTTGTGTTGTTGCTTTCATAATTCAAAATAGAGCTCTGTGTGCCTTCGAGCCAAAGGGGCATACTTGTGGTAGAAAATGGCCAACTGCAAGTTTGCCATCGTGTTTTGTCTCCGTTTTGTGTCCTAGCAAAAGAGTTGTGTTTTCAGTTGTGGTTTAGAAGGAAAAGAAACAGCACAGATGAATGGAGCCTTATTCTGCGGTTCTATAAAACAGTTTAGGTTTGTTTAGTGTGTATGATGCATGTTGTGATAGCAGACGCTGAAGAACCAGGCATTTGAGCACACATCTCTTGTGACTTTGTTCAGTTCCGAGGATATTGAAAATGACTCTAACCAACAGGTGACAGGTTCCAGAGGGTTACTTTGTGCATCCTAGGCAGTGTGGCTCCCATTTAAAATGAGCTGTGTAGCATTTCCTTTTGGGGCACCTGGTTCAGAAACCAACAGTTACAGCACAGAACTTGCTATATATATATTACAGATTTGCCCTCTGGTTAACGATGATGGCTTGGTAGAAGCTTACACTGCTTGTATTCCTCTGGGCAGGCTGTGCTGGGGCAGGCAGAGGGGTCAAAGCGGGCTAAGCTTGGTGGTGGTGCCTGGTCTGAGAGATGCTGGTGTCCGTCAGCAGAGGGTGGGAGCTATTCCCAGCCCAACATTTATACACAGCTTCCCTTGTGTTGTTGAGTTCTGTGAGGACACATCCAACACAGCAATTCTGCCACCAGCAGCCCTCCAAAGCTCCTGCCAGGGCTTGGTGGGTGCACTGCTCCCCAGCTGGTAGCACAACAGGCTGGGGAAGGGGCTGTGCTGCCTGGCCAAATTGTGAGGGTCTTGTGCAGGGGGCTCAGAGGTGCTCCCAACACACCCGGTGGTCTCGAGGAGCAGGGCTTTTCTGCTGGTGGATAGCACAAGCCCTGGACAGGCTGCAGCTCGAGCTGATGAGTTGATTCCTTTTTCATTTTATTTAAAACATATAAATGTATACATATTGAATTTCTTCCTTTTCAGAGAAGTGCAGGTGAGTTCTGTCTGTGCCCATCATTTACAGCACTTATTAAACCTGGTGTGAACACGCAGGCTTGCAGAGCTCGCTGCAGAGGTGAGAACACTTCAAGTGCTCGGATTTTCCCATGGAAGAGCATTGCGTCCTGCAGCCCAGCAGGACCCACCAGCTGTTTAGAGGCTTGCTGCTTGTTTGTCAGCTTCCTGACTGTCTCTCCACCAGGGTCTGCCCGCTGTCAGCAAAGCTGCTGCTGTCCCTGCTGCTCCTAGGGGCAGGCAGGGAAGCGTCAGAGACGTTCTGTGTTTGCCCACACGCTGATGGTTCAAAGTGAATACGCTAAATCAGCCACCAAGGGAAAAAGGAGCCTCAGGAATCTGTTCTCCTTTAGCTGGTTGGTTGGTTTGCTCCTTTACCTGTTGCAGGGGGTAAGGGAAGGTGCTCAGGTGAAGGCTTTCTGTGGAGCAGCAGCCACAGAAGGCAAACTGCAAGATATAAAATCTCCGCTAGCGTTGGCTCCGTTCCTCCTGAGCCAGGCAGCACAAGAGCTTTCCCCAGACTTAATTATCGAATCCCTCTCTTTTGTCCTGACTGGGAGCTCACTGAGGCAGGGTCAGATTGTTTAATACAGTGCTTACACGGACTGAGACTTCAACACACTCACATCACACAAAATGCTAATGTTTTTTCCGTGGTTTTGTGTGCTTTTCTGTTTTTTGTTTTTAAATGAATAAAAGCCCTCCTCCACTGCCAGCTGGCTTATCCAGCCCAGATGTTCTACAATACATTCTGTGCTATGATTTGTTACTGTAATGAAGAACATTAAAAGAACAAATATGAAGTGAGCATCTCACGGGCACTTGCAGGAGCACTCAGAGAAACCTCAGGAATTGTTTGCGTGCGGTAGCAGAGGTCCAGGAAAAGAGCAGATAATGATAACAAGAAACAATTTGCTGGTATGGCCCAGTAATACGTGCTTGGCAGATGTTTTTTTCCAGTAATGGAGACATCAGCTAATCATATTTGGTGCTTGAATACACAAAGCAATAATTCTGGGTTAACCCAAGTTGCCTCAAATTCCCTGAGTCAATCCTTGCTCTTGTCCTCTGCAGATTGGTACAGTTTTAGTTTTTATTGCTCTTAGTCCGTGCATTCCCGTAAGATTATCTTTTTATTTGAGAATGGCTTTGGGGCAGAGGGGAACCACCACAGGCTTTTCGAGGGAGGGGAGGACCTGCATTTTCTGTAACTGCTCTGCTGATGGAGCAGAAGGTTGCAGGAGCCTCTCCTGGGCCTGCAGGGTTGGCACCTGGTGCTGCGAGCGTCAGCGCTCTGCGTCCCGGGCATTTTCTGCTAGTGGCTTTCATTCACTTCGCTGAAGTCCATTATAGCTTCAAGTCATTTTTGCTTTTCAATAACTTTGTTCCGAGACTGCTAAAAGTGACTTAATGGAGCTTTCCACTAGAAGAATTAGATAACGTTTGCCTTCGGCACGGCTGAACTCAGACTTTTTCCCAGAGATGCAAAAATTGCATTAAAGAGATGAAAAAAACCCCTCCACCCTGATATTGAAGAACCTCATTTCTTGAGGCCTGGCAAATGAATGTGGAACAATTAACCTTTGCTTCAGTAAGAAGGGAGCTTCCCAAAGCGTGGTAATAGCTGGAGTGCTGCTGTTAATGCGAGGCTGGCTGGGTGCCTTTCTCCAGGGAATGAACGGATGGAAAGAGATGGAGCAGTTGAGCGTTTTCTGCTTGAGAGGAATCATTGCTGTTGTTTTTTTTTGCCTAAGAAAATGTATTTTACATGCTGAGGGGGGCTTTCTCAGCAGTTGAACTCATTCCACCCTAATGTACTTGCTTGCTTAAGAAGGGTGGGAAGGAGGTGAGTGTTCTTTGTGTGCAAGGCTAAATAAAAGATCTCCTGAGAGAGAGAGGTTCCGTCCCATAGCCAGCCTGCTGTCTCCTAACTGGGATTGCTCTCTTCAATACCGAAACCTAGTGACAAACAAGACTATTTAAGGGCCGTGAAGCATCTCAATTGCTGATTGACTATATTCCTGTGAAGTGTTGCCCCAGTTACTCTTCGGGTGGATTCTAGATTTGTGACTTTGCCAGGACTTGTAGGTGGCCGGAGCCAGAATTGCTGGGGCGGTGCTAACAGTGGGATCATGATGGAGCGGTGCTGGGGCTGGCTGGTGGCAGGCCTGCCATGGTGGGCTGGTTGGGCTGCTGCAGAGAGGCTCCGGGCTCGCCCTGAGCGCATGATAGCGATCGCTTTCTCCTCTGCGCACTGCCAAGTGGCTTTTTGCCTGGGGTGTGTTGCAACCTCTGGCTCTTGGCAAATGACAAAGCTCTCATGAGTAAACCAATCGCGTCCTCTTTGGCACCAACCTGGATCTGCCTGCCTGAAGGTGCAGAAAGCCTTTAACCACCTGTATGAAAAGCCATTCTCATTAGGAGCTCCCTGGCAAGGAGGATGGCAGCCTTAGCCTTGTCCCTTGGGCAGGGACAGCCAGGGGCTCTGCTGTCAGCTGGCTTCGAGCTCTTTCAGTGCCTGCAACTGGAGTCTTGCTGCTGTGGGGGCATGGGAGGCATTGGGCAGGAATGATCCATGCTTTTTCTTTTCCTGGTAATTGAGCAGAGCTCTCCCAGCTTGCTAGAGCCTTACAGGTGCAGCGCTGTTCTTGACTTTAACAGAAGGACAGTAACAAGGTATGCTCACTGATTGCAAACCAGGCAGTGAAGAAAGGTGGATCCATGTTCTGTAGTTCTGTCAGGACAGTATTGTCAGGAAAGATGTTGGTATTCAGCACCTGCTTTCAGCTGCTGGAGACCATTAGTTGCTGTGCCTTGACTGGAGGGTGTGACAGCAGCATGGCTGAGCCCAGGGCTTAGCATGGGAACATCCCTGTGGAGGTTTGGGGAAGTGCAGCCTTCCAGTTACTTGCAGGCTTCAAGAGACAGGAAAACATCCGGGTTTCCCAGTCTGAGTTTTCTTCTCACCATATAAGATTGTTTGGTGCGAACAGTAGGTGACTGCTGTTGTCACAGGAGCAAGTGTTCCCTGTCCCTGCAGCGAAGCTAAGAGGTAATAAATAGCCCGGAGCTACTGCCCGGCATGTTAACTCCTTGAGGCTTGTTGTGCATGCACACACCCTCCTCACCATTCATTTGGGCTGATGAGTTGGCCAGTCCTTGCCTTCTGCGTGCTATAGCTGTCATTAAATAGGAGTTTCAAGCGGTCTGTGCGGAGCGAGCTGTGCGATTAACGTGGGTGGACTCGGTATCGAAGGCAGTCTCAGGAGGGATGCTGGAATTCCAGACTTCCCTCTTGCACCGCATCCCGAGGACATTATTTTCTCACTGGTGCCTGGAAGATAAATGTGCCCAGATGTCTTGCATCAGCAGCGCTGTCAGACTTGTCCCTGTGCAATGCTGAGTTGTGCTATGGGGATGAGTTGGCCCCAAAGGTAAGTGGGTTAGAAGAGACTGAAAAAATCCCATAACTTCATGTAGGAGGAACTCTCCTGTAATTCCTGGCTGTCTTTTTCCTCCTCATCCTAAAGCCAGTTCTGGCATGCACAGATGATGCAGTGAGTGTCCGGCCAGATGAAACTGCTGATGGTTGGATGCCACCTGAAACGAGCTGTGTTTGCAGACAGAGCTGACTGCAACCAGCCCCGCACCGTGCTGCCAGCCTGCTGAGCGCTGTGCCCAGCTGCCAGCCGGGACACAGCCCTGGCAAGCACTGACGTGCATTGCCCATAGGTAGGTGTGGTTACTCCCTTGTACTTAAGCTGGTCATTTCATGTAATCTCCGACGTCTGGACACAAACGCCCACGCTGCTGCAGAAAGCACTCTCTCTAAATCAGACCCTGTATGATCTTCTGCCATTAGGACTGGGAGAGCTAAAGCACATGCAGTTGGGAAACACAGTCCTGTGGAAATGGCTTGGAAAGCAGCTGAGAAAATAAATGGAGATGGCTAGATTAGGATTTTTAGCAGGTAACACAGCATCACCACTGTGGCTTCTGCCTGAGGGTGTGCTCAAGCAGGGGTCTACAGCCAGTGCTGGCCCCTGAATTGTGCCTGGCGTTGTGGGGAACGGTCCCTCTTGGCCTGAATTCCACTTTTTTATGATTATTGTTTTCCCTGAGCAGTACTGGAGTGAATTACAGCACTGCACTGCCACAGGCTGGGGATGGCTGTTAGGAGGTTCTTGCTGAGAGCATGAAACTGCAGTGGGGTGAGCGGGAAGGGCGTAAGGGGAAGGAGCGAACACAGGCTGCAGGGGTCTGACTTCCAGCAGCCAGCTCGAGACATGGCTGGTGCTAATTGGGCAAATTGTTTAAACGATATATCAGCAGCTCTGCTGAAGACAGTGTCTGGAAGGATTAGCATCATTGTCTTTTCAGCCCTGGGATACTGGTCTGGGTCCAATTTTGTCATTTCGATGAGAAAACCCTAGTAAAACATGATGTCAGCGTTACTACAGATCGCAGGAGAGGCGCGTGGATGTCTCCTCTGTGACTGCACCGTGCTTTTCTGACTCACCCGTTAAGCACAGAAACCATGGTAGCAGCCCTGGTTTTGTGCTCTGAACGTCAAGCCCAAGACTTTCTTGGGACTGTTGGAGGTCTTTTGTTGAGGAAAGGCCAGGTCAGGACGATGGTCTCTCATCAAAAGCATGGAAAAGGCCATGGGAGCCAAGGCAGAGAACTTGAGGCTGGATCTGAACTCCCCAGGAGGCCGGGGGGTGGCTCTGAGGCTGCTGGAGTCCAGATGGAGAGGGTGGATTGTGGTGAGCTTGATCTAAGTTAATTATAAGGGTTTCTTTGCTTCAGGTGAAAATATGGAACACTAATGCTAATCAGAAACCATCCAAAACAGAACAACAACAAAATCTTACTATGTCAATAGTGTTTATTTTTGAGCTTCAAGAAGGAGCTATTTCAGCTGCTTTTCTGCAAAAATAACTATAACTGAAAGTAATAACACTTTACATCGAGCAGAATCCCATTCTCTTGGAAATGACTAATCTTGCTGACAGTCTTGGTAACGTATAGAAAGCTCTTCTGAAAAGGTTGGAGAGTTTTGCTCCAGGAGCGTGGTGTAACAGCGAGGTGTGGGGAGAAGGCGCAGCTGAGCGGCTGCCTTGACTTGGGGTCTGTGAGTGCCAGCCCTGCTGCCCCTCACAAGCTGCTCCTATCCTCCTTCCAAGGTGATACTTGTGATTTGTTGAAGGCTCTAATAAAAACAAATGCTTCTGTTTTGATGAGACTGTTTGTTCTGCGCACTGGCGCGACCTGCCAGCTGGCTTTTCCCAAAACGCATTATTTATTTGAGCAGCATTAGCAGATTATCGGGGCTGAATAAATCTGCATGTCTGGGGCGGGTGAATTTTCTAGGCTGTCCATCCACGAGAGTTCCTGCGTGCCTGCCAGAAGCTGGGAAGTTCAACAAGGGGTCTAAATGCTGACGTGTGAGCATGGCAACCCCAAATCAGCTCCTGACTGCGCTCCCAGCCCCGTCAGGGAGCATGGGGGCATTTGGGACAGAACAGGGAGAAGATGATCCTGTGTGGCAAGGGCGTGCTTCATGGAAAAGACAGAATAACCAACCCTCAAAAGAGAAATAAAATCCATTACTTTGGAAACAATCCTATAGCCACCTGGGGGGCTGTGGGATGCCCATTTGTGAGTTTTGGGTAGGAACACAGCCTGCTCTGACTGTCCTGCTCTGGTGCCCTTAGGCACACTTTATATATTTATTATTTTATAATATTTATATATTAAGCACACTTTCTCTGCTGTTTGGAGACTCACACTGGTGGAGGGAGCTCATTGGGTTATTAAGGAGGTCACATGAGGTTCAGTGGGGTCAGGATCATGTGGCTCCGTATCAGTAATTAAAACTCGATTAAAAAAAAAGACAGCTGGTAAGCTCCCTTCATTTTTATAAATGGCACGAGGATGAATTATGTCTTCATTGAGTTCAGCTTGTAGCTAAAGAAATGTACTAGACTGGCATTAAATCATTGCATTAATATTAAGAGAATAATTCTTTCTAGACTTGGATAAATCAAAAACGGGACTGCTGTTTGACTATGAGCAAGTCGTAAAGAATCTTACCGAAGCTATTCAAATCTGTAACTTGCCAAGTACCTAATACTGAAATGAAGTCCTTTTACTCCGGGACATGGTGTAGGACCAGAAGTCTTTCTTCTGATGCTTTCCCTGCTGGCAAATATTTTCCTCCTTCCTACAGAACTTCAGAGTTTTTTCCATAAGCAGCATTTTGCTACATCCCTAGTGGGAAAACTTAGAGAGGACCAGCTCGAGCTGCAGCGCAGCCTCCCAGGACTTGAGGCAGGAGCCAGGCTTTGGAGCTGTGCTCTCTGGTCCTCTCAGGAGCAGTTATTTTTAGGCTGGGAAAACTCATTTGCCTTTGCATAAGCAATTTCCAGAATATTTAGTCATTAAGAATTGGTAAACCTGTTACATCCCTGAAACATAAAAAGCTGGAGATTTCTGCATTTCTCCATCACTGATTTCTGTAGGGCAGTAATATTTGGTTTATACTGCTTTATTTAAAATTTACTATTAAACAAAATTAACCACCAGTCATTGAAGTTAAAAGCTGCAAATTAAATCTTAACTTTTTCAAGCTTTCTTCCTTGAACCTAGGCTTAACAGAGAGGCCAAAAAAGGTTTAAATTATATGCTGATTTACTAGAAGTACAGATCTTTAGAATAATATCCCTCCTGCTTTTCCATCTTTCTTTTCTCATCACAAATACCAAAGGACACCTGTAGGCACTCCCAGTGCAAAGGCAGAGGCAGCTGATACAGCATCTGCTCAGTAAAATATCTTCTGGTTGTGGTGATCAAAACCCAGCCTTGTGCAGCTCTGACTTATACTGTCCTGGGGTCTGCTCAGGGCATTGAGAGCTTTAAGTGTACACAGGGGAGCAGAAGGTGTGACTTTGCTTATTTCTCTGTGCTTTGCAGGAGGCAGGTACAAGCTGTGTGTGCAGGGCTTAAACTCCTTCAAGGTCTGGCAAGCAACTGTACGCAATTAGTTGGTGTTCTCATTATATTTGTCCTGACATCTTCCAGGCAGACACGTCCAGAAGTGGGAGATTTGCTTGTAGTTATTGGGGAGGCATCTTTGGTGCTAGGAGAACTTGACGTGAAAACTGCCTGTTCTGGTTTCATTAGATCTGAATCAGAAGATGCTGCTGATGGCTTTTTCCCTTTCTCTCTCCACATCTGTTCCGGCTTTAAGCGACTTGCAGTAATGCTAGCGTTGGTCTCTAACCCTCAGCATTTTACCTCTGACAGGTCGGTGGGACGAAGACGGGAGTTGTTCGCTACGTGGGAGAGACGGATTTTGCCAAAGGAGAGTGGTGCGGCGTGGAGCTGGACGAGCCCCTGGGGAAGAACGACGGGGCCGTGGCTGGTACCAGGTACTGGGCGCTCCCAGCACGGGGGTCCTGCGGGCCTCCTGCGGGGACTGGGTGCCAAACTCCTTCGGGTCTGGGAGGGAGAGTTGGTGTGTTGGGTTGGATGTTATAAATGGGGAGGAAGAGTCCAGTTTTGAGTCTTTGAAGCTTTGGACTAATTTTTCCAGGAGATAAAATAGAAGCCTCGTTACCGGAGCATTTTATAGCAGAATCAGGTAAGGTCTGTATGGAGAAAAGTACCCAGGGTGGCTGCAGGAAACAGGAGAGAGTAGAGGGAAGATACTAAATTGTACTGCACTTTAAGTTTTTTGCTAGGAATGGGTTCTGTGATTGGGTTAGGTCTGCTTTCTACCACACGTGTGCTTCATAAATAAACTTTCTTCTTGCACTGTATCTGAAATTGAGCCTGTCAGAACTATAGAGAATAAAGCTCTGACTTTTTTTCTGGCTTTTCTGGCCTATTTTTTTTTTTTTCCTGGGAACAACTTTTCAAAGATCTGAAAGAACAATTGCTGGCCCTGGTCTGTTCTTGTAGGAATTCTGTAGTGCTACAGTTATCTGCTGATGGATCTTATCACCTCTGCCTCGATTGTACCTCCACTATTTTTGTTTCAAAACAGCCCTTGTTAGTGTCTAGAAAACTAGGCAGGGACACCTAGCAAGCTTTCTAAGAAGCTGTATTTCTTTTTGTGTAGAAGCTAGATAAGGGAATGACCCCCAGCCTCAGGTGTTTGAGTTTGGCGATGCTTAGACCTGAGTTATATAGCGGTGCTTTGGCCTTGGTTCCAGTACAGGTGGAACTGATTTCCTGTCCTTCACAAGTTCCTTACAGGGGAAATACAGCTGATTTCTCAAGGCTCCTTAAGGAAATCTTACATTAAAGGTGAGATTGAACTTTGAAACTACTCAGGAACTGAGAGTTCTTCCATCGGTAGATCTCAGGTTCTGTAATAAAGGCTTCTGTGTTGAATCAGCCCCTTTTTGTCCAGCAGTCAAATGTTTTCATTTTAAATAAGAGAAACGCTTGGGAATGTCAGGACAAGAAAGCAGTAAATGATTGGCAGCAGATGGCTGACTTCCAGCCTGTTCTCTAAAGAAAAGAACCAGAATATGTCATGGAGTGAAGCCAAGTCCCTGCTTTCTTTGTCACGCATGGTAAAATATCTAAGCTTCATCTTCAGGGTGCAAAGAAATGATTTACTGTCTTTTGTGCATGTGGAATGTGTGGAAGGCAGATGTGAGGGGTAAGGGTGCTCTCTCTGGCTCTTGTCCTCACACTTCTGTTGCTGTGTTCCGAAATCCCAACTTTTGAAAGTCATCTTTTTTCTGAAACCGCTACATCATGGTTTTATTTTGCTGTGGCGTGCACTGTGTCTGCAAGGCTCCTCTTTGGCATTTTATCAAAAACAGGAACAATTGATTCCCACAACAAGAATCAGGGAACAGGAGCAAATTCAGAGATTTTGATTAAATAGAGGAGACTGAAGGAAATCTGTACGGCATCCCTGCCTCTTGTGTCCGAGCTGATTACGCAGATCTCCTAGCAGCAGTGAATGTCAGCCAACTCAGCAGTGGTATGCAGGCACTGTCCTGCTAAGGTCTGTCCACCAAGCATCTGGCTGCAGGTTTGCAGCACTCCCTCTTCATCCCTTGAGCCTTCATCTAACCTTCTGATTTTTCTGCAGTGAAAACGCTTCTCTGGCAGCTAACAGCATGGACTGACTTCAACAGCGGGGTTCTGGAGGAAGGCCGCCATACCAAAACCTACTCCCTTGGGCCATGCAGGCACCCCTCAGACAGTGCTCCCCACATTTATCCTGGCTACTCAGGATTCCTGGTACTGCCCTGAGTTTGTCCTGCTGGAATCAGTCTGCAAGGAGGCTGTCCAGGGCTCCGGAGGCTCTGTGCTTTGGTGGCTGTTGCCATCTAGTGAGCATCTTTGGTCTGGCTGCCTACCAGCAGTGCTCACTGCTGCAGTCGCTGTTACAGCAGAAGGGCTGGGTCCAAAGGCAGTCTGCTGTCCCTGAGGTGGTGGAGGCTGGTGGAAGGAGGGGAGGTGATGTGGAGGCAAATGGGCCAGCAAAGGACTCTGTCACCGGCTTTGCTGTCATGAGCTCTCCTGGTGAATTGGACCCTCAGAGTTTGAGGAGGGTCGCTCTGATTCTCCTGCAGGTTCAGCAAAGGGCTCCAGGGCTGGGTGTTCATCCAAGCAGGGATGAAGGGCCAAGGTTTCCTGAGCAACTTGTGGCTCTCTGGTGGAGGCTGCCTATAGTAGCAGTGCCTGAGAGGACATCACCGTGTTTGGGCCCCTCTCCTGGCATCACATGGGTACTGCTGAGACACTGGGGTGTGCTGCATCTGCTGTTCTGTCTGCTTGGGAGAGCAGAGAAGTACTGGAGTGTGTTGTGTTGTTTTTTTTTTTGTTGTTGTTGTTTTAAATCCACACGGCCAGACAAGTTCCACTTACTCATCTTAACTGATTCATATTAACCTTCACTTATTTTACTCTCCTCTGCCCCTGCTCCTATGGGAGCCTTTGCCCACAAAACTTTGACATAGTTTGAAGCCTGTCAGTCATGGGCCTTGCACTTTAAAAACTATTTTTGTCTGTTTCAAACTTTTCTGTGCTATTTTCCACCTGCAGTTTGCATCACCATCACACCACCACTTTCCTTTCCAGTTTCTTTGTCATGTGGGTGTAGGGCTCTGTAGCACCCAGCCGAGAGCAGCTCTTGGGTTTCAAGCAGATGTTTCTGCTGCCAAGTGTTCTGGACCCAGCTCCTGTCTCTGAACTATACCAGTTAATTGCAACCACTTCCAACCACTAAAAGTAGGTGAGCTGACATAGCTTGAAGCAAGTTTGAACTTGATAGGAGCAGTAGGGGGCTTTGGGTGGACTTACCCTTTGGTATGGTATAGCCACAAGTACCATTTTACGCTCAGGTCACTTAGACCTGTGGAAGGGGCTGTGCCATGTTGTTGGATTCCTCTGCAGGCTTCAGTTTGAAAATATGATGCTGAGGAATGCTTTGGCTGGTTTGCAAGAGGTCACACAGCTTTTCTACTTCAGGTCTCCATTCTGGAACAAGGTGAGCCTGTGATAGCCTTCCTAAACCCAGAAGCCTGTGTTGGCAGCAAGCAAAGGGGTCTAAGAGATTTTGGATTGTAGGGTTTTTCCATTTTTTTTATCTTTTAAAAAATGGAGCTGAGCAGGTGTTTGAAAATTAATCACACATCTGGGTGGAGATGAGGCTCTTCTCTGTTCTCCCAAGCACAGAGTTCTGACTGTGACCCAGCCGGGTGACTGCCAGCACTTACAAACTGAAGGCTTTTGGGTTCCAGCTGCTTGCATCTGGAGAGAGAGCACTTGTGCTAGGAAAGCTGGGTTTGTCATTTATTCATTAGATTATTATTATTTTTTAATGCTAACATAGGACAGGCTATTATATGGCCCAGTATTTTGTCCTAGCCTCGCTAATGAGGCTTTGAGAAAAAAAATCTTAAAGTAGAGAGTTTTGTGTTGGCTCTTCCATAGCCACAAAGGGGCATGATGCCTGGAGGCTGTCTGGGTTTACTTGCTGCAATGCAGCTGGCTAGCAATAGGTAGGCCTGAGCTCTAAGGGGGTTCCCAAGGTTTGGCACTAAGTTTTGCTTATTTGTTTGTAGAAACATAATCATCAGGCTCGCTGCAGTTACCTGATACACCCTTTTGTTATGCTTGCCTCTTTTAAGTTTGTTTGCAGGGAACCAGTTTCCCTCTCCCCTCCATCCAGAGGGGGTGGCACACACTGGAGTTTGGGATAATGGCATTTTTAGCTGCAAAGTTAGCAGGGGAGGAATGGCAGCTCTTGTTTTGGGAGGAAAAATTACCCGTAGAATGTCCTACAGAGCTGTGTGATTCGTGCCTTTTTATTTGACGCACTTTGCTATGTGGCTTTTTTGTAAAGCAGGGTAGAGAGCACAGCCATGCAGGTTTTGGGAAGGCTGTTTGCTTCTGGGAGGAAGGAGCGTGTGCTGTCACTGTTTACGTGCTGGATCCTTGTGCTATCCGGGCTACCAGCTGGGTCTTTCCTGGCAGCTCATCAAAGCGTGCCTGGCAATTATCTTGGGCTTCCCTTCTTAATCAGCACAAGCAAAAACATGGAGGTTGCCACTGCTCTAAGTGGCAGGGAAGGAGAATAATCCAGCCACTCGCATGAAGGAAGCAGCGAAGGGCTGAGATGAGCTGGGGTTGTGTTGCTTGGCAGTGCTGCTCTGCAAGGCTCTGACAAGGTGGATGCTGCAGCACCAGTGACTTGGAGCATCCCTCCTGTGTTACAGGTATTTCCAGTGCCCTCCCAAGTTCGGCCTCTTTGCTCCCATCCACAAGGTGATCCGCATCGGCTTCCCATCGACCAGCCCTGCCAAGGCCAAGAAGAGCAAACGGATGGCCATGGGGGTGTCTGCCTTAACCCACAGCCCCAGCAGCTCCTCCATCAGCTCCGTCAGCTCCGTGGCATCGTCCGTCGGGGGCCGGCCCAGCCGCAGCGGGCTGGTAAGTGGCTTGTCCCACAGACTGCAGCCTCCATCTGCTGCGGCCTGGTTCTACAAACCCGGGAGGGTTGGAGTTTTGTTCCAGCAGCTGCACTGGGCATGCAGCTTTTTTATTTTCTTTAAACAGGTGCTGAGCAATTGTGACCATTTAAAAAGTCCAAAGTGCTATTTGGAATGGGTTGAACCTCAGCTCTGCTGTTAAGAGCAGGTTTTGTTACAAGATCCCTGCAAAACAATGCCACTGCTTCCTGCCCCGTGTGTTTGCATCGCAGCGAGCTGTTCTGTTAAACAGCCGTGCCTTCCAGCTCCTGCAGCGACTGCATTTTGCCATGAAGGGATGACTCTGTCCTGGATCACATGCCTTGTGCTTTGGAAGGTGCTCAAGAAGGCAGAGAGCAGAGCAGGCAGCAATATTATTAAAAGCTCTAGCTCTGACGTAGCATGTGCTGCATAGCACCTGCAGTCATCCTGGCTGGGGAAGCGGGTGCAGTACCCAGTCCTGGGAGCAGATCCAGCCAGCCCGTACCAGCCTCCAGCTGATATAATTCCTCCTCGCTGAGCTCGCTGTTTGGGACTGCCCTAGGCTGGGCATTGATGAAATGCATTTTAAAAGGCAGATGATACAATGCGTGACAACCTTTGCTGACCTAATTCTCACCCCAAGTCCTGTCCTTTGGGAAATTATTCTTCCATTGTAGTGCAGGAGAGCTACTGAGCTTGCAAGCAATGCACGCTCTTTTTTGCAGACTCACTAACACAACTTGTAGGGCCCAGAGCTGGCACTACAGCTCTGTACAGCATAATAAACAATCAGTAGATAAGGTATATTTCAGATTTGACAGGGGACTTTAAGGTATTCTAGACTGGGGAGGACACAACCTTACTTCTGCCTCTTTTAAACTCCATTCTCCAGCTGACAGAGACCTCCTCACGTTATGCCCGAAAAATCTCTGGCACCACAGCTCTGCAGGAGGCGCTGAAGGAGAAGCAGCAGCACATCGAGCAGCTGCTGGCAGAGCGTGACCTGGAGCGGGCTGAAGTTGCCAAAGCCACCAGCCACATCTGCGAGGTGGAGAAGGAGATTGCCATCATGAAGGCCCAACACGAGCAGGTAGTGTGGCTTCCTCGCTGGAAGTTTCAGGTCGTGATAACACTTTCCCTGTGCTGCAGCTACCTGATTTGGAAGCTGGGCTCTGAATTTCTGCCTTTTTTTTTTTTGTGGAAATTGCTTAACACACCACGCAGGAAGCCGAGGCTGTTTCTCCATTCCTGCGAGTGGGATGTGCTCTCTCCTTCCCCAGGAAGGAGCAGAAAAAGGGCTGTGCCAGACAAAGGGCTGGTAATAGTCTGTGTCTGGCGGATCAATACATCTGAATGCTGAAATGCAGGTGGAAAGCAAACTCAGTCCCCTTGGCCGCCCACTCTGGCCTTGGCCGTGACTGCATTGCAGTGTTTTTGATGCTATCAGACACTGCTGAGGACACCAGCTCAGTTCCTGCACGTCACTGCTTTCCTACCAGAGGGGGATGCTTCAATTGCATTAACGGAGTCATCAATCACGAGGAAAACAGGCTGATTGTGTTAGCATTTTGGTTTTTCCACAAGGATTTAGATAGATGGTATTTTATCCACTTGAGTGTTTAAAGAAAAGAGTTACAGGTTTATGCTATTCATCAATGTATGGCTCTTTAACCACTGCTCTTGCCGTGAATTCCTTGCTCGTGTTTATAAACCCAATGCAGCTACCAGGGAGTAGGGGTGATGCTGTGTATCTCTGTGTGTTGGCCCACACCTGCCTGTCAGAAACAGGGAAGAAACTGGCAAATCAACAGCAAGCTGAAGTTTTCCTTGTGTAAAATATTTCCCAGTAATTAACAGTAACAAATGAATTTATGCAATTCTGAAATGACTCTCGCTTTGTGACCAGGGCAGAACTGGATCTGGCAACCTTGGGCCAGGTTTTCAAAACTGTTCAGGCTTGAAGTGCTTAAATCTGATCAGAGCTGGATTATCCAAAGCGTTCGAGGTGCTGAAACACAGATCAGACTTACAGCTAGTGGATACTGAGCAATTTTTGATACTTATACTGGGCTTTTTGGAAAATCCACCTTCTTACAATAGCAACCTCTGAAACATCATCACAACCTTCTGTTCTCTTGTTCCAATCCTTTTTTAAACAACTCTGAACTTCAGGCATGGTTAACTTTTGTGACTTGGGCTCTTTTTTCACTGCAGTACGTCACAGAGGCAGAGGGAAACCTCCAGCGGGCACGAGCACTGGTGGATGGAATGCAAAAGGAGAAGATCGAACTGCTGAACCAGCTGGAAGAAGAGAAGAGGTAAAACTGGAGTGAATGGGTGTGGGGGAGCTGAAATCATGGGGGAGATGAAGCTTGTACCCGAGAACATCAGTCGTTGGATCTAAGGAGAGAAAAAAGTGACTGGGGGGGTCATCTTTGGATCTCTTTCCATATTTCAAATATGCTGTGCTCCTCTGTCTTGGGCACTGCAGCCTGCCTGCATGGAGGAAAAGGTGCTGCTTCAAGTAACAAGTTCAGAACAAGGTTGCTGTAGTAGAGCATCTGGCATGACCCTTATTTAGGGATGGGCGTCCAGTACGGTGACTTCTCCCACTTGCTGACAGACTGCTGCTGATCACAAACAAGGAAATATTTCTAGGTAGTCTCATACATTCCTGTCTTAAGGTTCTTAGAAGCCACTCAACGCCATATCATCCTGTGCGGTTGCAGTGAGCTGATTTTTGTGATGTGAGCTATATCAGGGTTTCTCAATGTGCTCTGCTCAACCTGCCCCCTGGTGCAAAGTAACTGAAAGGCAGGCGACAAACAGCCAGGACAGCTCATGCTTGGCACGGTGGCAGCTCTGCTTCTCTGCCAAAAGATGTTGCATGGTCGGACCTGCTTCCCTGCCAAATGCATGTAGTGCTCCAGACAAAAGACATTATCAGCTTCCATTCCTGATTATGACTCCGAGCTGCTGGAACTCCTGTGAGGACCCTGGTAAATATTTGACAGGCTGCTTCATGTCCAAGGGCATTTGACAATGCCAATGTTGCACTGACAATACAGTGTGGGCATCATTTCTGTAGACAACTGCCAATTGAAGACCAGATAGCTGTGGTCTCCTGCTGGGCAGTGGAGTTATTGAGGGTTTCCAACCTTCTTCCCTGTTTTTTGGTTCCTAACACAGAGCAGGAAGAGGCAGCATTATTAGCCTGAAAGAACGGAGGGTTCTGGTAACACCAGTAATCTTGGATTTTTGTACCATAACCAGACTGAGCCACGTCACTGTGTAAACTGAACTCCCTCAGTAAAGAGGGGACTTGGATATCAACAAGGAGCAAAGCCTTGCCTTCAGGTGTTCTGGGTTAAAGATGCAGTATATAAAAAAAAAAAAGTATTGAATTATAAAGAGAACTCTGCAGGCTGGGCAATCCCAGGTCCCCGCACTTTCTCTACAGCGTGGCTTTGCTAAAGACAGTTTCTTTCCCCATCTATTTGTTGAGATGTTAATCTTGCAGACGTTCCTCCTGAGGAAGGCAAGTCACACCACAGTATGGCCTTGCCATTGTGTGATTCGCTGCCTCCCCACGTCCCAGAGGCCCCATCTGTGTATGTACGACGCTGCATACATTTCCTTTTTGGATAAGAGTGAAGATCTGCTTGTCATTTTTGGAGGCCAATTGCTCCATATATATAATTGAACTCTCCGGTGGGAATGGAAAAACATTTCTGTGTATTAAGTAACTGGGGGGAAAAAAAATGAAAATGGTGTTGGTTTCAATTGAACGATGCTCCCTGAAGATGAATTGTTCTTTCGTGCACAAGTCTCCCTGTTCCCTGGGTAGGCAGCTCACTTTCCCAGCTCCAGGAGGCCCTTTAACCCAAGACAGCTGAGCTATTTCCTAAATATCAACAGATGCCTCCTCTAATTAGAGGAGGTTTAGACAAGGAAGCTTGTTTATGAAGTTAGATATGTACACCCACAGCTATTTTTATCTGTAACTGAATCAGAGTCCTTACATCTGGCTACCAGTGCAACATCCTCATTATTGCCTTTTTTAATCAGTAAAGAGAACAAAGAGGGGTGAGTTTAGCAGGAGATTGAATTACTCTGAACAGAAAATCCAATCAAGATACAGGCTTTGCAAAAGACTCTGAGGCACTTTTGAGTTCGTGCATGGGGCTTTATACGGATTTATGCGTGGTTGACCTGTGCAGCCTCTGAAGGTTTTTCTGCCAAGGTAGCTCACCATTTCCACGTTGTGGCAACACGAAGCATTGCTCACCCTCTGCCAAGAAGGCAGAGGCTTTGATTCCCCTGGAATATTTTGTATGGACCATTTGCATTTGGCACAGGAATTGCCCGGTGCTCCGCTGTGAGATAACAGGGTCTAAGTAAAACAGAGAAAACTGTTTGTGGCTTCCCTGTTTTCAGGATCCTGGTGTCAATGAACAGCAGTTGTGCTGGCTGAGAAATAGTACAGCAGGAACAGTGGGTTTGGGAGCCTGTACCTTGCAAGAAGGCAAATGCTCGCTATGCGTAGGCTTGCTTAACTGTCTTGCTCCTTGTATCTTGATGTTTAGCTTCTGCAGAGCTGTTTTTATGTAAAAGATTGCATTTCTTCTCAGCTTTTTGTTGTGCAGGGGAGGCCCATGTGCAATGGCTGCCTGTAGGTGGGATGCTAATCTGAGTGTCACTGATCACTCTCTCTCCCCTTCCCCAGGAAAGTGGAGGACTTGCAGTTCCGCGTGGAGGAAGAATCCATAACCAAGGGGGATTTGGAGGTAAGCACCCTCACCAAAACTTGTGTGCTGCATGTGTGGCCTTCTGTTAGTAATTTCTGCCACCTTTTGTTCAACTCTGAACAATACAGTTCCTTTAGGGATGGCTGCAGACCTGCTGCAAATACTGTGGTATAAATTGAAGATTGTTCTTTGGTATGTTGCGTGATCCCTTGTAATGTTAGGAGATGTCTAGAATTAACCTCAGCCAGCCAGCCTGGCTTTGAATATTGCCATATGTTGCCAAGCAGTGTTAAAAACTGATTATCTGAATGCATTTTAACATATGTTTTTCCGCTGCAGAAGTGATTTGACTGCTCAGTCACTGTCCCTGCAGTGTCCTGTTAGAGGTTAACGGGCACGTGCAGTCTCTCAGGTGAGAGATGCTATTCCATTCGAGCCCAATGCCATGTATTGTGTGACCTGCAGTATCCTCGTGTGGAGTCCTCTGCCCATGGGGTTTGACACTGGAATACCCTTTTGTTAGGAATGGCTGGTGGTCTGAGCAGTGCTGCTCAAATGGTGTTGTATCAACTGGAAGTGGTGTTAGGAACTTGTCCTGAGCACGAGACTTTTCAGTGCAAAGAAGAAAAATGAAATACTTCTGTGAAAGCAAGGCTCTGCTCTACCTGTGTGAATTGTGGGATTTCCCTTATCTTTAGCTAGAGTGCTAGGTTAGTAACAGAAAAATCAAAGGACCTGTATCAATCATATCAGGCCAGGAAAACATGAAAACTAGGCGGTGGGGCATGTTGCTGTGGCTTGGAACCTCTTGTTTTAAACCTCTCCTCTTTATCCAGAAGTTAAAGCAGAGTCATGTGTGGGACAGGGCATAAATCAGCAATGCACTGATAGCAGACCTTTGCTAAGGGCAAGTACAGTTTCTGTCCAGTCAGTGAGTACCAAAGCAGGTTTCTGTTGATTCCTGAGTTTAGGTGGTCAGCTTCCCCCAGGGCTTTAGAGAAGGGAGATTGATCCATCAATCCCTTTGAAATAAGTGAATTATCCCTGTATAAGCTTTAGGTGTTTAATACTAGTTGTGGAGTAATGGCAACAGAACCAGGGTTAGCTAGCAGATATCGGGGTTCTGTTTTTGAAAGAAAACCTACATGTTCTAGCAAGATGTTAAGCTGCTGTGACTGCAGGTCCCAAACTGGGGATAGATCTGATTTTTAGCAGGGTTTGGAAAGGAGCTGCTTTGCAATGAGGATGTGACCAAGCTTCTTGCAGGCTGACAGGTTCTGTCCCAGCTTCCACCTTCTGCTCAGAGGAACAAATACCTTCTTGAGAAAGAGTCATGGAGCAGCTTGGTTTTGGGGCAATCCAAAGAACTGAGGGTTTCCCCAGGGGTCCAGCACCAGTGGCATTGTAGGAGGGTTTGGCTGTGGTCAGTGTTTACATCGTGTCCTGTCTGATTTGGATGCTCAGACTGGACAATTGTCCCGCTGGAGTTAATTCTCACCTTCCTGGTTCGTTGTGGAGATGGTTGGGATTTCCAGAAACAAGTAATGTACTTAGCAAATGTCTCTGCTTGGAAGGCAGGGTGATCAGTGCTCCTTCCTGTAGCAGTGTGTTTCCTGGGAAATTGGTGTTCTGACATCCTCCTGGTAGTCACTACAAAGCCAGCAGCTGCCAGCACAGCTCCTCGCATCCCTAGTTAGAGATGAATTAACCACTGAAATATCAAAATCAAAACCCAGTGATGGTTGTCTCCTCACTTAGGGTCTTGCAGCCCTCTTGCACCAGGAGCCCCTTGGAGTACTGGGAGCTGAGTGGTGTCTTGCCTCAGTTTCTCACCCAGGGCTGTTTGTAGCACCTGTGTGGAAGGCAGTTAAAGGCCATACCAGGCATGCTGGTAAGAAAATATTATTCCCTTCTCCATGGATCTAGGGCTTCCCTGTAGGACAGCATCTTCCTTGACGCTCGGATTAGATTTGGAATTCTTCAGACTTTGGAGGTATGGATCCAGTACTTGGACCTTTGGAAAAGATGAAGGAGCTGTGCATTTAGCCTTGAAATTAGTAATGAACTCAACCTTCTCAGTCCTGGTTGGCAATGCTGTTGCTGGAAGGTGGAAAGCAATGGCAGAAAGGGGGCTGGCGATGACACGACTTGTATGAAAAGCTTTTTATGGTAGAAGGCTTGTTATGGGAAACATTAATCTCATCAAGGAACAGTCTCATGGTATCTGTGTGGTACCTTGCACACAGGTAATCTAACTTGGGTAATCTAACTTGAGGCTGATAGCAAGAAGTAACCCTAAAATTCAGATCCAAGCTTCCTCAAAGTGCAGGGACGCTCTGGATTTGAGAATGAGTCATGTTGACGAGGAAAATCAATTTGCATAAAATATGAAATAACACAGGACTTCAATGAAAACCTTAAATAGAGCTATATTTAGATCAACTGATTTACAATCTTTAATTTTCTTCCCTGATTTTTCTCCTTCTCTATTTTGATATGCTTTTCCAGACTTGGAAAAGACCAGGATTGGTAGATACTGAGCAAGAATACCAGGTGGAGCTGGGGTAGCTTGATTGGGAACTTGAGTGCCAATCTCAGGAATCTTGAGAAAGTCTTTTTGGGAGAGTCAGAGATTAGTTTTGTAACAGGTTGGCATCTTCAGGTAGCTTATATCTGACATGCCGCCACCAGTTAAGGTAATTTCAAAAGTATACATTGCTGAAATTTCACTTGGGAATTCTGGGGAAGTACAAATTGATGAAAATTCATTAGTGCTAACAGAATAATTATCCCTGTAAATAAAATCAAGCCTGGAGCTCCATCTTAGGATGTAGATCTTGAGCTGTGTAGAGAATGGGATAAGCTACTTGGTACAAAATTAAATTTTCTTAATTTTCTTTAGTTAGCATGCATTCAGTCAACTTCTGCATTATGTGATTATTATTATGTGATATTATTTGGGCTGTTTGATAATGTTTGGGTTCTAGAGACCACATCTTTTTCTTCCTTTGGGGGTCCAATGGACCACAAAATATGGAGTAGTCTGAATATATCTGATAGTCGATCTTTACCTTCTGTGAATGCATGTGAAGTTTTATATTTCAGGCCATAAGAGAAACATGGGTTTTTACAAACTTAAGTTCCTATCAGTTTTAGACAACTAGCTAAAACTTGGTTCAAAAAAAAAAAAAAAACAACCACCCTTGAACTGGTTCCATTAGCAGAAAGAGCAAAAAGTAATTAGTTGTATGGAAAATTAAAGGTAAAAAAATCCAGTTCTGGTCAGGTTGGTTTGTTTTTTTGGGGGGAGGTCCAGTTTAATTGAAAGGAATATATTGTTTTAGTAAGATTAAAAAAAAAAAAGTAATAAATAAGCGGCGGCTTTTTGCATGCATATTTCCCATGTATTCCCCTCTTTTATTTATGGGGAATTTTATGATATTACAGTGGCCGCTGTGGATTCCTGAAGTTTGCCACCAAATACCAGTATTTGGTATTTCTGCTGTAAAGGGGAAGAGTCCTGAAGCACTGCACTGAGTCAATGCTCTGGGATTTGGGCAGGTTATATAAACGTGTGTAGCTCACTCATCTGTTTTGCTGGCTTTTAAGTTGTCTTTTGTACAGGGCTATTAGTCTTTGTTTAACATCACTTTGAAATTCATAGCAGTCCTCTTCAAACCTGAAGCACTGATTTATATAGCAGTGTGGGATCTAATGATTTTTTATTTACTTCCAGTGCAGCGTATCTGTGGTTTTAGCAACCTGCTGTGCACAGTATGACCTGCTTTTTTTCCACCTAGTGCGGGGTTCAAGCTGTCTCCAGAGCAAAACGAGGAGGGGAACTTGAGAGCCTTTTCAGTCTGCCTTGGGATTTTTCTTGAGGAGAATGGAGAATCCCTGCAAGGTCTTTGCAGGAGAATCCTTGCAAGGTCTTTGCATTCTCTGATGTGGTGCAAGGGCCTTGTACTGGTGGTCTGCAGCAGCGGGAGCTTTGCTTTTTAGGAAGTATGTTCGGTGCAGCATTGATGCAAGAAAACAGTGAAGCAGCTTCTTAATGCAGTGGGATGTTTTCCCTGCACAGATCCTACTTTCTTGTGAATAGCCTCTGTGAGTACCACGTAAAATCCCGTGGTGATCACTTTCTGTTTGGATTTTTCCTGCTTGTTTGGATCTTTATTCTCCTCCTGTTGTGAACTGCCTTTCCTTGTCCTGTACACTGAAGATGATGTTGCAGCCTTCTCTTTCCCTCTCCTCTCCTCTCTCTCTCTCCCCTCCCTCCCCTTTCCCATCTCCACTGTTCTTCTTTTTTCCCCATGTGTGACCAGACTCAGACGCAGTTGGAGCATGCCCGAATACGGGAGCTCGAGCAGAGCCTGCTGTTTGAGAAGGCACAGGCTGAAAAACTCCTCAGAGAATTAGAGGACACCAGGGTAATCGTTCCCACTTGCCCTGCCTGCAGAGCGGCGCGCTTCTTCCCCGTGCTGATGCTCATGACGCCTTGCTTTGGGTTTCTTTTTTTGGTTTGTGTTGTTGATTGGTTTTGGCTTGAATTTAGGCTTCCCCGGTTTTTGTTTGGTTTGATTTTTATTTGCTCTCTCTCTCCTGGACGTGATAGCACTACATATTTCCTAGCTTTGCTGCTTGTGGGGAGGATTCATTTCTCAGACTGAGTTTGCTTCTCTGCCCCATGCCACCATTTGACCCATGAGCTCTTCACAACTCATCATTCAGTTAACATGCCGGAATAATACCTGCAACCCTGCACAACTCATTCTGCCTAGAGGCTCTCCGAGGCTGCGATAGGAAATAACATTGCAATCAGCATTCCCTGTGCCCCCACTCCAGCCATGGGAGCTGCGACTTGAGGATAGCAGCGGTGAGTCCAGGTGGAGCAGCTCTGATCCTCCGCCACGCTGAGCCAGCAGCAGGACGTGCTGCCTGCGTGAAATGTGTGCCCAGTCCTAAAAGCAGCCCCATGTGGGGAAAAAAGCTTTCTCATGCTGTTGTTGTGCGGTGTGGGAAGCAGCAAACTTGCTCCGGTGAGCCTGCTTCTCAGCAATGGATTTGTTAGAGTTTGCGGAAAACGCAAATGTGAGGTTTTTCCAAAGGGCTAAATGGTGTGAACGCCCCTGTGCCCATCTAAAAGCAAAACCACCCAGCCTCCTGGGTTGGCGGTTAGCAGGGAAAATGGCAAATGAAATGGAATTGATCGTTTGTGTTTTGACACTGGAAGATTCACTTGATTTCTTGGTTTCTTCTGCCTTTTTCTAATATGTCACCCAGTCAAATCTCCTCTTCTCTATCCATCACCGCAGCACACTGACCTCCCTGTGACCAGCAGGTAGTTCAGCCCCGTTAGGCTGTGTTCAGACTGTCAGGCGCCAACCCACAGAGCTTATGCTCAGTGTTAACCACGGCTAGATTTATTGTCTTGCATCCTCTAGCCTTCTGTGTCGTTTTTACTTTGCTAATAAACTCTAACAAGTACTCACGTGTAAAATCCCTTCTCCTTTTTACACCAGGGTAAACAAATCACACCGCAGGTGTGGGGTCTGTAGGCTGAGGATTGCTGAGCACGAAAGGAAACACAATGTTTAATGCTGGTTTCAATGCTTGTGATACTCCTGCATGTGCAGTCACATTTCCTCTGTGCATCATCTGGCAAGATGCCTGGCCTGGAAATATAATGGCCTTTTGGGACATTATTTTTCATAAACTGCTGTTGCTGCTCTCTAGCAAATTTCAAGGGTTATTTCAAAGGTATGTGTTTCTCTCTTGAAAATAAGAGGTTTGTATTCAAAAAACAAATTGTAACTGGCACAAAGGCATAGCAGTCAGTTCTAATTACCCTGGTGCAAAACTGTACTCAGATTGGAGGGTGCTGGGTTTTCTTTTTCTTTGAACCTTGACTAATGTACTTTGGATTTACTTCCACTGAGACACGTTTACTAAAGGGAAGAGTACAGCAATGAGAGCTGGGGACTGACTTTGTCTTCTCTGTCACGTTGCAGCTAACCACGGTAGCGGAGAAGTCCAGGATCCTGCAGCTGGAGGAGGAGCTGAGCCTCAGGCGCAGCGAGGTGGACGAGCTCCGGCAGTGCCTGAGGAGCTCTCACCAGGCAGAGGCTCCCGAGCATCACCTCGGCTTGCAGTCAGAGGCTCTTCGGTTACGTGATCAGCTGCTGTCTGCCAACAAGGAGCACCAGAAGGAGAGCAGCCAGCTAAAGGAGAAGTACGAGAAGACACTAAAGAAGTACCAGCAGGAGATGGAGAAGCTGAAAGCCGTCAATGAGAAGTATTCACAAGAAATCGTTGACCTCAAGCATAAGGTTCAGCAAGCCACTAACGAGAACATGGGGCTCATGGACAACTGGAAGTCCAAGCTAGACACGTTAGCTTCTGACCACCAGAAGTCTCTGGAGGACCTCAAAGCCACACTGAACACTGGCCCCGACACCCAGCACAAGGAGATCGTGGAACTGAAGGCAGTGGTGGAGAGTATAAAGATGGAGCACCAGCTTGAGCTGGAGAACCTGAAAGCAAAGCACGACATTGAGACAGCTGTTCATATAAAGGAGAAAGAGAGCCTCAAACTGAAGTTGCAGGAGGCTGTGGATGAAGTGGAAAAAAGCAACAGCGACTGGAAAATGCAACTGGAAACCAAAAGCAATCAGCACCTTCTTGAGCTCCAAGATATGAAGGACAAGTGTCGAGATGCAGAGCTGAGGGTGCATGAACTGGAGAAACTCCACAGTGAATATAAAGACCAGACACAAGCAATAGCTTTCTTGAAAGAGCAGATTTCTTTAGCTGAGAAGAAGATGTTGGACTATGAAACGCTACAGAAAACAGAAGCCCAGAGCAAACAGGAGATCCACAGACTGCAGGAAAAAGTGCTTGTCTTAGAGAACAAGCTGCAGTCCATGGAAGCCCTGCATCCTTCTCAGCATGCAAATGTATGCTTTTCGGGTCACTTTGCTTATTTGTTATCGCTGTTAATAACACTTCCTGGGGGTAGGGCTCAGCTGCGGTCTTGTGCAACTCACTGAAGCTTCTGTGCCTCAGAGTATTTGGATGTTTTTAATCTCCATTGGTAATGCTTTTTCTGCAGAGCATCTCCATGCTGAGGGTTTCTTCCCATTCTTGAAAGCCAGTACAGTGGCACGGGTAGAAAAGTGAGACTCAAGAGAAGCAAGTGGGCATCTGGGTTTGAGGCTACATTAGTTCTGTGGCAGCAGAATAGGTTTGGTAGAGGCAAACTCGTTCTGAGCAAGCAGCATTCTTAGCTGGAAAAGCATCAATTCTGCAATGTCTGCTGTCCTCCTAGGAGCTGCAGCAGCCTCGGTGTATTATCAAGCAAAGCCCTTTAGGGGTAGGTGGAGGGACAGGGTGGAAGAAGAGGCATTGCCCATGCTGAGAGAATGCACGGCTTGCTCAGCACGTGGAGTGTGATTTGAGAGCCTCAGTTCGGGGGCTGAGCTGATGGCAGGTGTGTGCCAGCAGTGTGGCCTCAGCATATTAAAGAGACGGGGAAATGCTGCCCGTGAGGATTGCAGCGGAAATGCTGCTAGCAAGGGTCAGGGTGACACCAAGCCAGGGAAATAAAATACCTCACTGAATGAGAGTCCTGAGCCTCCCAGGGAAGGCTAGAATAAAAGCAGTAGTAATATAAAGAGGTCAATTTATTTTTTTTTTGTGACCCTTGTGTGGTTTTGAGTCTTTTTTTTGATTGTAAGCCATGGGATGTGATCCTGGCTTTGTGGCGTGGCAGAGGGACACGTGGTTGTTCGTGGCTCGCTCACATCCTCCTCTCTAAAGTGAAGCAGGGAGATGGCCACTCCTGGCTCCAGACCGGACCCCTCTTTGTGTTTGGCTTTTGCATGAGAAATGAGATAAAGGACAAGTTGCAAGTTGGCTCCGTGGGGATGAGGAGAATGAAAACGAGCCATGAAATGTGCGTGATCTGAGAATACTCATTTGGTGCCTGTCCCTGGGGATACAGCCTGCTCCATGTCGAGGTGTCAGTGAAATGAACATAATGCCTGTGTTTAATTCTCCAACACGAGCAGTCCCACTGAAACCAGGCGCACTGCGAGGCAGCAAAGTCAAGCCCACGAATTACTGCTGGCCAAGTCAGAGCTTCGTGCCTGCAAGGAGACGTGCTCAGCTGGCTGGGAGAGGAAAGCCTGAGGAGGGATCTGCAGCATTAGTGGTGGTTCAGGGGTTGCTCAACATATTTCCTCTAGTAAAGAGTCCTGAACAATAAGTACAGCTGTGGCCCTGGGAGAAGCGGGTTGTTATTACAAGGCATCACATATTATAGCCAAGATTTAAACAAGAATGAATGTAAAAGAAGAAACTGGAGGCTTGTTCCAGAGCCATTTAAATAAATGAGAGGGCTCTGGGGGACTTTATTGGTGTTGGATTAGAACCAGGGAGTCTTGAAATAATTATTTTAAGTGTGTGTCAATTAAAATGGGGAAAACATGGGAAGAAATGCATGGGTGAAAGCTTTTGAGTATCACAGGGTAAATCCTATTTTAAAAAGTCTTAGCTAATTTAATGTGACTGTAGTAGTAACTATCCAAATATTTTAAGCAAACTAATGTGTCTTGTGATTGAATGTGCCTTCTATCCTTCAAGTGAGAGCCATAACTCTGGTTCCAAAGAGCAGTTAAATAACTTTCTGTACCAGAAGTACATCAGGCAGGATATTTCTCCCCGCTTCGGCTGTGCTCCTGTTCCTGCTAAAGCCGTGTCCTGCAGCACACGCAAGCTCCTGGGGCCTGACCTTGGGGCTTTCAGCAGCGGTGGCCGCAGCAGCTGCTGGATGGGAACCATGTGCTCAGGTCCCAAAGAAGGCTGCTGGCCCTGAAGAGGCTTCAAGTGCTGAATTTTAGCCTCTGCAGTGGGAAGTTTGGGTTTTAATCACTGCTGTCAGCTGTTCGAAGACATGGGCTGGTAGTTGCATGGTACCAAAATTGGACAGGTACCAAAATTTCTTGCTGATGGCTTACCTGAATCTATCTTGAGATGAAGCCTGGAATTTAGGAAATGGGTGTTAGGTAATTGTGTGCAGCTGAATGGAGTTTTAGGGCAGAAACTGATGCAGGGAGAAGTTACCCTGATGGGGGCAGAAGTAAAGTCTCCTGGGGTGGGTCAGATCTCCCTTGGGTTGGGGATCGTGCAGTGGCCACCCTCTCCGGGGTGTTTGGGATTCCCCTGGGATCTCCTAGCTGCTTGCACTGGCTCTGGAGAGATGTGGTGTAGGATTTTGTGGGAAAAGAAGAAATGGGAAGGGATGCAAATGACAGGTTCCCCAACTGCATGACAGCCTGTGCTTCTGGACTGAAACCAACGTCCCTGAGAGCACACTCACATCTTATTGCTGATGTGGCTTGGTCCCTGTGGAGCCTGGGCATAGTTTGATGCCATTTGTCTTGCATTCTCATGGGACTGTCACTTTAGAGCAGGAAGGCAGACAGTTTTTGTGTCCTTCCTGAGGTTTTCAACAATGCTGAGTGAATGCCTGTGGGGTTTTGTTGGCGTTGTTAACGTTGCAGGCAGCGTGATTCTGTTGGCAGCCTTGTGGAGCTGGGCCTGTGAGCTTCACGTGCAGGGAACCTGCAGGTGGTGCTGAGTTACTCCAAATGTCCACCTAACGAGGTGTATTTGCACCTGATGAGAAGAAGAGATCTGTTTTCCATGTTCAGTCCTCACTGAGATGACAGTTAAGATGGAGATCCTCAAACCTTGTTTTGGAAGGGGGAACTTGCAGCGTTGGTGACAGCTCGTGAAGAGTCATCCTAAAGGGTGTGTTTTATGGAGAGGTGCTGGATTAGGGGACTAAAATACAAATATACCTGCATTGCTGGCTGAGTCAAGCTGTATTTCCAAGGCTGTGAGCTCTGCAGTCACACTTAGTGCAGTGTGAGCACAGGAGGAGAAGACAGCCCTCTATCTGGACCAGCATTTGCTTTTAATCAGTGTTATTCGTTATCTATTAGTTATTATCTTATCAGCACTTCATTACTGTTTTTACAAGTTTGGATGCGGTTAGTCAAGAATTTCCTCAGCATCTAAAGAATCTGAAAGGTCTCGAGATGAATGCTGAGGAGCACTCGCAGCCTTTGGTGGGCTGAATGTTGGCCATCAGGAGGCTGGTCCGTACCGGAGCAGCTCTGCCATTGCTCTGGGCATATGGAAGCTGGAACCGGAGCTTGGGGGGGAAGTCTGAGCCCTTCTCCTTTTGGGGTGAATCTCACTGCTGTGATCATTCAGCTCTTGCTTGTGGGCACTCTCACATAATGGCTGTTTACCTTCAGTAGTACCCAACTGTAGAAGCAGGTCCACAAAAGTCTGTTTCCCGTTAAGAAGGATGTAAAACACCCGAACTCAGGTGCCAGGTAGAACTCTGCTTGGATGGGGCTTTGTGGCTCTTGGTTTTGCTTTGAATCTTTGGGCTAAGGGCTGTTTTACCTTTCATATTTTATATTTATTTCAGATGATTGATACTAATGACATTTCAGAAGAAAAAATAAGGATGAAGCAGACTATGGAAGGTATGACATGGTTCTGTTTGTCCTGGAGCACCCTGTTCTAGGGACCCTTCCTGCAGGCACAGCTGTGTGAAAGGGGTTTAGGAAGTCATTTCATCTCCTATTTTGCTGCATGGCATTTGTTGCCTGGCTCTTTCCTGCTGTCTAAACTGAGCAAATGTACAGGCGGGATGTTTTTGGTGTGGTATGCTCACCATGTAGGTGGTGCAAGTTGGAGATGGACCTGGAGAAATGGGCACACTCCGTCCCATCAGGGATTTTACAGCAGGTAAAATGCAGTCACTAAATGTAATTTACAGCTGTAACCCCTAATCCGAGCAACAGCAGGCCTGGCAAGGTTACAGCTGCATGGCCCTGGCAGGCTCTGGACCCTCACTCTTGGGAGTGATGTGCTGCCACGTTGCTGTGGGTAGCTTGGGTCTGGTCCTCGGTGGAGGGTCTGGGGCTGATGTGAGGTGCTCCCAGGTCACATCTTCCCTTGTTCATTCCCAGGGGACTCATGTCTCCTTATTCCTTATTTTCTTAGGATTGCTTTTAGCAGAGAAGTCTTTCTAATGTAGATAACAAAAGTGATGTTAAACCACTAACCTGTCACTTCTTTTCAAATGTGACTCATGGAGTCATAGCTTTCTCTCAGTTATGCACCTCTAAGGAGTCCATTCTCTGCACAGCCCTTTCTGAAGACCTGCTGAGGATGTGCAATCTAAACAGATCACTGTGGCTCTCCCAGTAACTTAGATTTTACCTGGTAGGAATTAGGTTAGTTTGAGTGTTTCTCCAGTTTTGTGAATTCAGACAGGGTGCTTAGTCCTATTTCCATACGCTGCTAGTGCTTGCTGTATATTAGTGTGTCCCATGGCTGGTTTTGCAGGTACAGGATGATGTATAAGTTGTACCAAGTTGTATGCTGGTTGACAAGGGATTGTGCCTCACAAGGGCAGAGTGTAACCAGGTCCATCAGCCACTGCTCTTACAATGCCCGCTCAGTTCATGCTCATTCACTGAATGAACTACGTAAAGGATGGTGCTTTAAAAACAAACCAGAGCCTTAAAAGCATCATGCTTCAGACCTACAGCTGTGAGTGTAGAAATACTGTTCCAGAGTATAAAAAATAAATAAAAAAAAAAATATCCTATGAAACAGTGTCTGCCTTCCAGTGCAGTAGGTAACACAAGGAAATGTGCTGAAAGGTTTTTTATTTTTTTTCCTGGGTGTGTTTTTATAGAAGTGTCATTCTTATTTATTTTTTCCCAGTGTGTTTGCTTTCTTAAACCTGTCCAACCCAGCCTCCTAGCCGTGTATCCTGCCTGCTAATGCCTGGATAGGGTGAGAGGCAGTGAGCAATGCCCGTCACACCTCCTGTCTGGCACTATGCTCCCTGACCGTATGCTCCATACCTCCCTGACTTGCTCAGTGTTTTCCAGGCTTCTAATCTCCCTTTTTCTTTTCATTCACTTAAAGACCTCCAAGACAAGCTGAGTAAACGAGACAAAGAGGTGTCATCGCTGGTGTCCCAGACTGAAACCCTAAGGGCCCAAGTAAGTGGTAAGTTTCCCTAATCCAGTGCTGGTGGGAGCAAGGCGTTTCTCTGCTCGTCCTTTGTACTTGTGTTAATAAGGGCCCAGGTGCTCAAACAGGCAGGGGTAAGATGTGACACTGCCTGCCTGTTAGTGGGCATCGTTGCTAAGAATTTGTTCAGGGGTTTCAGTCTGTGAAGAGAACAAATCCAGCAGAAGACATTAGTATCAAGTGAGGAGGGGTTTGGGCTCGCTGAATGTCAAAAGCTGAAAGAAATGGAGCTGGGTGTGCTGTTTCTGAGATCTCCCCTTAAGCAGAGCCAGATCCAGAGTTTACCAGGCTTCTTTGTAGAAGTGGGAATTGGGAAAGGCAGAAAGTAGAAATATGAATAAAGAAATAAGCAACCTTTCTTCCTCCCCATATCCTCTGCTTCTCTTAGCTTTGGAAAATAAATGCAAAATTGCAGAAAAGAAGGCAGATTCGGTGTTAAAAGAAAAGAAGAGGCTGGAAGGCGAGCTGGAAGCCCTGACCAAGAAAACACACGATGCTTCGGGGCAGCTGGTCCTGATTAGCCAGGAGCTGCTCAAGAAGGAAAGGTCAGTGTGAGGGTCTGAGGGACGGGGGGTGGGTGGGTGGTATGTGTGTTCAGAGTCCTGTAACTTGCCCCAAAAGAAATCTCCAGGTTGAACTGCTGAAATCCAGCCCCCAGTTTGCCTGTTCAAGAGGGAATGTGGTTAAAAGTAGGGACAATTAATTTCAGGAGGGATTGCCCTTTCATTGCTCATCAGGAGCTGCAAGATGCAGCTCAGTGCCCATGTGGGTGCTGAATATCATCATCTACCAGTCAGCTGAGCTGGCTGCTGCCCTGCTGTGAAATACAGTGCCTGTGGGGGTCCCAGGCTCTTCAAAGCTGGCACAAAGAGGGTGAGAGGAAATCTGAAACCCCTGTAGCAGTGGGAGTTGGGATGGGTTTGCTGGCTCGCCTTTCCTGGGGTTTGTAGCAAAGGTGAAGGGGAGCCTGGCAGGACTCTGGTGTTAGTGGTGTGCAGCCTCTGGAGATGTCCTCACCTCTTTCTGCTTCTTCCAGGAGCCTGAATGAGCTGAGAGCACTCTTACTGGAGGCAAACCGGCACTCACCGGGGCCAGAGCGGGACCTGAGCCGGGAGGTGCACAAAGCCGAGTGGCGGCTGAAGGAGCAGAAGCTCAAAGATGACATCAAAGGGCTGCGAGAGAAACTGGTCGTGCTGGTGAGAGCATCAAAAACAACCCCTCCTGGCTTTGGCTGGGGGTTTTGGAGGGGTTCTGTGCTGTTCCGGGAGGATTTTAGCGCTTCATCTTTACTCCAGGTTATGAGGCTTGCTGTCATTACTAGTGAGCTTCTGATGGGAACTTCCATGCCTCTACCTGTGAGCTGTGGTCTGGCCTAGCAGCACCTCATTAAGCAATGAAATGTACATCCGTCCTCCACCGTTTCCCTGTTCCCACATATTTTAGATCCATGGCTAAACAGGACTAAAATCTTTGGCAGAAATTGAAAGCCAGTCAGTTTCCCCCATATTGCTTATTCCTAGATCAGAAGACGTGTAAAACAACGTCCTCTAATTCCAGTGTACTTCAGTGGCCTCCAGTGGTTGAAACATGAATAATTTGTTTGAACTCTGTAGGGAATAAATTGGAGCTTCTGCTGGTTGCATTTGATATGATTGCCTTTAGAGCTGTGCTCTGACCCCATCTACTGTTGAAATCAAAACATGGTTATATTCGCTACTGCAGATTTGTGCCCTGTTTTGTTTCCGTGGCTATAGTTTTTTTATCTGAAGCTTTTCTCTCGTTTTATAAGGACAAGGAAAAATCAGTAACGGATCAGAGGCGATACTCCCTGATCGACCCCTCCTCGGAGTCAGAAGTGATCCGGCTGCAGCACCGGCTGGTCAGCACGGAGGACGTGCTGCGCAACGCGCTGGAGCAGGGCCACCAGATGGAGAAGCTCATGGAAGCAATGAGGCTTTCCTCGGAGAAAGCACAGGTAGAGCACTCATTTCCCAGGTCACTCAGCCCTTGGCACTCATCTGTCCTGAGCAATCCCCTGGGATCCCTCCCTGTGCTGTGGGAGGTGATGCGGTCAGCTGGTTTTTTGTTTTGTTTTTTCCCTTTGGTTAGAAGCAGCCTGGCAAGATTTTCTTCTCTCAGATGTTGTTTAAAACTAACAAAAGCCTTGCTAGTTGGTAATTACAGATCCTTTTGTGCTCTGTAAGAACGGCTGCTAGAAGTGGTGTTTTGAGGAAGGTTGCAGTGTGAGTAACTGTTCTCTGTGTAGTGATGTGGTGGCTGCACACCTCTGCACTACAGGCACAGATCTCCTGAAGGATTTAGGGGAGAATTAAATTCACCCAGACAGGGCTGCATTTCATTGCCCATGAACAATGGAAGAAAGTTTATATACAGGTTTTGCCATCTCTCTTTGAGAGAGGTAATGGTCCAAGGTACTCTTTGGGATGCGCTGTAATTGTTTCCAAACAGCTGTCTGAAGAGAGAAATATTTCTTTTTTCAGATTTCAAAACAAAATAAATTGCAAGCAGTCATTAGGAAAGTTTAAGTGTCCTTATTCTTCCTGTGCTGTCTGTGACTTCCATACTATAAGTGGTCTGAAGGACAATGAGTGTTCCTTTAGACCACTTACAATACGGAAGTTAAGCATTTCTGCCATATCTGTTCCCCGAGAGGATTGTCTTGCAGTCCTTAAGCACAAACTTTAGAGGTGACTCTGGGAACATGTTTTCCGTTTCTTTTATGAGCTCCTGGAGGCATCTGTATCTGTTCTAGGTTTGCTGCTGTACCATTAATGTTCCTGTTCTCTTCCTGACTTACTCTAGTATCCCCTTGCTTCTTCTGAGAAAAGCAAAACTGCTTCTATTGTTGCCTTGCATCCTTCTTTGTGAAAATGAAGGCTGCAAATAAACTGACTCTTCATGTTTGGCCTCTTCTATCTCGTACCTGTGGTGTCCAAGCCCTGACTGATTCCTCCTGTGAAGTGACCTGCCCCTCATGCCAAGCTTTTAGCTTCATGTCCTTTTTTTTTTTTTCCTCTTCCAGTTGTATTTTCTCTTGTCTGCAATCAGGTCATGGCCCTCAGAGGCTGGATACAGAGTGCTCCTCTGATACTTTCTCACTTAAATTCTGAGCTGGAAAACTTCTTTCTTGTGCAGTAATGAGCTACAGTTCAGGCAGACACCTTGGAACAGTACAGAATGAGCCAGTAGGCAAGGAGAATGGGCAGAGAGTTTGTTTTACCTAGTGTAGGTGGGAGTTGTGGGGGGTAACCTTGGAGTATCGTGTCCCCTCCTCTCACCATCTTCCGTACAGTTAGGGGGCTCTCCAAACAGCTGCCTGCATGGAGGAGAGCACAAGGTAAAAGCTGCAGCCCTGAAAGCTCTGCTGTCTCAGCTGCAGACAGGCTCTTTATATCCCGCGGTGCAGCAGCCGTCTGCCAGCACCAGACAGGACAGCTGTAGTCACGATGACAAGTATGTGGCAGTCCAAGACATGCTATAATCCTGTCAGTACCCCAGAGTTACTTTAGCTTCTCCTGTAATTGCTATGTGTCAAATGAAAATGCATCGTGACAACCTCATCTGTTGTAAGCTATGGGAGGGGCAGGAGAAGTTGTTCTCTGTTTGCTTTAATGCTGAGTCCCTCAAGAACAGGAAATCCTCCTGTTCACATTCCTGTCTCCAGAGGTGGTGCAGGTGGTAATTATTCTTTCCCTAGTTGTAGAAAATAACTAATCTTAAATAAAGTGAATTGGAGTGGACCTCATGAGGTCAGCTAATCTATCCCCGGTATTACTTTGATACTTTCATGCTGAAGAAATCCCGGAGATACGACAAGATAGCATTATGCTTTCAACTACAAACTGCGGTATCAAGAGACAGAGAGGGGATTATTGAGGGAAGTTAAGCTTCAAACTTCTATTGATGTCAGATTTTTAAAGTGTCTAAGTTACAAGGAAGTCTGGATCAAAGCTCTCTGGTTTCAGTGTGATGTCTGATCATCCTTTCCCCTATAAAGGGGAGTTGTTAACCAGGGGCTTTTGGGCTGAGCCTGGGGACATTGCTGGCCTAAAGAGATCGTGGCACAGTGGTTTGGGAACTGGTGTTTCTTCTCCAGAAGCCACATCTCTGCTCTAACCCATTCTGCACAACCTTCTGACCTCCTGTCTCCTCTCTGCCAGCAGCAGCTGTTGCCCAGGGCTCTGGCTTGGCATTGCTCTCCCTTTGTCTGCAAAGCCTTCACAGCGTGCTCAAGGAGGAAATCTCTAATTACCACAAGCTGCTGCTGCTCTCCCTTTGCAGGCTTAGTCAGCCACTGCTCTGCAGCCCTTGATGTGCATGGCTGGCCTTGCTATTACACAAGGAGGTGCAGGAGCTGAGGGAGCATAATGGCACTGTATGTCTTCGTCTCATTGTCAGCTAATTGCTGCCTTGCTGTTTCTGTGTCTGCAGCTGCGAAGTATTTGTCCTGTAATAGAGAAAGAGGATCTCTCTGCTCTCCATGTCTTGGGAGACCCTGATCTTGCAGCTTTGCAGGAAATGACAAGGATTTGGCACTCAGACCTTTTTCTGAGAGAACTTGTAGTGATTGTGCAGGGAGCTTTTTTATTTAATTTGGAGCAAATTACACCACTTTGTGTTCATTATCGTGATCATGTACCGAGACCAAATTTCAGACCTGTTTCCTGGCACCTGAAAGCTGCTCAGTGTGCAGACTGGGTGTGCTGCAGGCAAGGTCGGATGTGTTGCTTTGCACAAGGCCTGTATTTCCCCCTGGCCATGGGTGCAGTACCCCAAGGCACTCAGACCAGTGGCATCACTCTTCATCCATCCAGGCAAGCAGTGCAGGCTCTCCACGCAGAGCTCAGCTTGTCTCTGGTTTTCCTGCTCACCTAACCCTCAGTTCTGTAGGATTGATTATGCACCTTCATGGTCAAAGCAAGAACAGTAGCTGCGACTCCCATATGATAGGTTTTAAAATGTGATGGGTTTTAAACCTTGCGGTCCTGTCTCTCCATAACTTCTGGTTTTGCTGTCACCAGCAACTCGCCAACTGTGAATCTGATTGCTGAGACCCAAGCAACTGACATCTGGCATGCTGTGTCTTCAAGCTGCAGCTTTCTTCCCTTGTTTGTGCTGGTTGCGCTGTCATTTTGAAGCTGAAGGGCTCCATATTATCCCTGCTAAAGAAACATTATAAATGTTTAAAGTTCTTGCGCTTTCTAAAGATAGAACAGCTTGTCCTGGCTGCCAGACTTGTCCCCAGAGATGGGAAACGGGGGATGGCAAACGTCCTTTTTGCTGCTGTGATGTTCCCTGTGCTGTGTTTTGCAGCTAACGCTGCCCTTGGCTGATGGTTTGTTTACCAGGATTTAAGAGTCAGAAGTGAAGAGCCGCTCTGTGTCCGTGTAGGAACTCGGGGGATATTTTATAGCTGGGAAGGACACTATCCCCCATGTGGGGATTGGGCCAGGATGCGGAGATCAGGAAATTTCTTGCCAAAATTGATGTGGGATTTTTGCAATCCCCTTTCCTTGCATGGAGTGGCCGCTGAGTGTTGGGCTGCTAAGGGAGGAGAAGGCGGTCTTGCCAGACCTCAGCCCTCGTAGGCAAACACTAGGCTCTGTCTCTCTTCAGTAAATATTGTCTGTTCTCTATTGCAGACTGTTGGAAATTCTGGGTCTGCTAATGGGATTCACCAGCAGGATAAATCCCACAAACAAGAGGTAAGCTCTAAGCAGAATGTTGTTTAAAACTGTGACCGCTCAATGTGATTTCTTGCCTGTTGGGCTGGGGACAGGGCTTGAATGGAGGCAGGTCTGCCAGCAAAGCTTGACCATGTCATTCCCAGTGAAAACACGGGGCTTTGCACAAGCCTGTTTACCAAGTGTGGTGGGAACCTCATCTTACTGTTAAAACTATTCAAAGTCATCAGGAAGACGCTAATGAGAGGCATGCTGAGGGACAGTAGGCACTTGCGGTAGGGAAAAGTAATTGGAAGGGAGTTTCTCTTCCATCTCCTGGGTCATTGTATGACTCCTGTCAGGATCAGCTAGGACATGCCCTTTATGTGTCACTCTTTTTACAAGGGTGGCATTCCTGGGACATGCCCTGTTGGTGTCCCCTGTTCTTTATGATATAGGGCACAGTAGCCTAAGGCTTTGTGTCCTTACGGGCAGGATGGCCAGCCTGAGGAAGAGGCAGGGTGGCCTACTGGGCAGTGCAGTGGGTCAGGGCATGGTGAGCCTGAATTCTGTACTCATGGCTGTGTCTCTACTCCAATTCTGTGGCTTAGTTTCTCCTTCTGTAAAAAGACCTCCGTGTTTCCCCTCATTCACTAACTGGTCTCTTTTCTTCCAGGAGAAGCTCTGATAGAGAAGAGGTGGAGAGGATCATTTCATGCCAGTATCAGCTCCTGTGCACAGTCAGGAAAACCAATACCACATCTGGCTTTAGCACCTCCAAAAGACTAGACACAGTATTTTCACTTTAAAGCAGGACAATGTTTATAATGTACTAACTGATGTAATCAGGACAATCCTGGAGTCCAGCTTTCCAAGACAGCCATTGTTCCAGGAGGAAGCAGAAAGATCTCTCTGGGTTTGGTTTCTTACCTGTATTGATTTTGACTGTGGAATTTGTATTGTTTGAGCTGCCCTTGCTCCACTGTCTGTGATCTGGGTCACAGCTGCCCCTGATGGTAGCTGAAGTGTCAGTGAGGCCCTGTAACCCCACAGGAACAGTCAAGGGATTTGCTTGTGGTGTTAAGCTCCAAAGCACGTGCCCCGAGGCAGCACGCTTCCCCCATGGTCTGTCCCTGCCCTTCCACCCACCCCAGTGTCTTGAAGACCTGCACAAGCGAGTGAAACCTGCTGGGCTGACTGTTCGCACCGGTACACGTAGGCTGAGGAGGACGGGGTGTGGGGAAGCGTCTCCTTCCTCACCTGGCAGAAGACATCTGGTTCTGGAGCATGGCGGCTTCGCTGAGTACTTGTATCATAGCATGTCGTGGGGAATGATCTGGTTTTAGAGGGGTATTTATTTCATTTGGGTAAGGAGCTGTGCTGGCTCTGAGATGGGGCAGGCACACCTCGCTCAGCTTTGGCTGGTCTCTCCCTGCAGAGAGGTCTCTGAGCAGGCCTGATGGTATCCTGGGCCGCAGCCGGGCTGCCCGGCCTGGTCTCCCTGCTTCACGTTCATCTTTCTTGGGCTTTTTTGGGTCTTCTGAGCACCAGGCTCCACAGCCAGCCACATCCCAGCATCACCGGCCTGAGGGCTCCGTGCTGGCTGCAGTCTGTGGGACAGGTGCCTTGAGGAGGTGGTGCCCTCCCTGCCTGTTAAATTTAACAGCTAATTGGGGACTGCCTGCCCTTGGCTTTGGTACAGTGTCTGTCCCCTGCTGCTGGGAATGCAGGAGGCTGAGGCGCTGCTGTGAGCGTTTATGCAGGCTGTCTGGATCTGATGGGTACAGAAATGCTGTGTGTGACACGAACACAAGCAATTGGAGCAGAAGGAATCCGAGTCTGGAGCCCACACAGCTCTCGTGTCTGCGCAGGGCAGTGCAGGCTCAGGCAAGCACCCAAATTTGCAGCTGGGACCCTGAGCGTGCAGGTGGGTGCTGCTGTCTCCTTGTGCCATGACAGTGGGCACCGGCTGGCTCACGAAGGAAACGTGGGGTTGGTTTGGTCTTGTTCCTTCTTCTGGAGCCTTTATTCCTCTCTGCATCTTTGCACCACAGCTCTTGGGGATATTAGGATGGAGTAAGACGAGAATATGCTCTTAAAGCTGTGAAACAGCATCCTGTGAAAGAGTCCAGTTCAGCTTCACTGTTTAGTACTACAGGGAAAAATAATAGCAATATTTTACCAGGCTTCCCTTAGTGCCTGACTCCTCCAGTTTTCAGAAGCTCTTGTGTGATGAGGGGACATCTGTGAACGAGAAGAGAGGAGGCCACTGACAGAGGAGATCCTGAGCCAGGCCACGGGCAGACGAACACCACAGCGTGTCAGCTTCACTTCTTCTTGCCCTGATTTCCTATGAAACTGTGCCACTTCTTCTTAGTGGGTTGCCAGGCTGCATCCAGGCTGCGATATAGTGCTGGGCCCTGCTCACTCGCTGCAGGACTGATGAGCTTCCCCCCACTCAAGGGAGGAAAAGAGAGGGAGGTGACTTGAGGGGAGTAAAGCGGGTCAAGAAACACGGCTTACATCTGGCTCGTGGCAGGGGGAGGAAGGCTGTGGGATCGACTTGGCTGGAAATGGTTCAACTGGGATCCCGTCCTGCCTTGTAGAAGTGTCTAATCAGTTCTCACTAATCACCAGGAAGATTACCACCTATCTGCCTAGCACTGGGACGTTTCAGGGGACCAAAATCCTTCTGGTTGGTGTATTCAACTCCATCGCTTCAGAAAATCCCAGAGAGCATTCCTTGTTCCAGCTTGCAATAGCGAATACCTCAGCAGGAGCTGCTGTCTTTGAGAATTTGGTGTTGGTGTCTCCCAAAGTTATCCTGTTGGCCAAATGGCCCTGCAGTCACTGTCACAGCTCCCGATGGCAGCAGAGCGGGGGCGAGGCTGGTGCCCCTCGCTGTGCCACCTGTCTCCAAGCCCAGGGCTTCCTGGGCACCCACGGGTGGGCGAGCCCCTTCTGTTCCATGACTTATTTTCCACTTCCCTTGATGAACCTTTGGCTCCGCACAGGGCAGGATCCCCCAGGAGTGGTTCTGGGGAGCATGCATGTGGCTCCAACGAAGGAATTCCTGGGTTGGCACTGGTTCAGGCTGGGGGAGAAGCTGGCTCCTGCCTCCCCTAGAGACTGTCCCCTCTGAGCGGTTCAGTCCCACGGCTTCTCCCGGTCAGCTCGGGTGAGGCTGCAGGACAGCAGCAGATGGGTCAGAGCAGGTTTAAAGTTAATGCTGGTGGTCTTCTCCTGCTGTAAAGAGCTGTGCTGCTCCCTACGGCTCAGCCAGGAGCTGATGGCACTGCTCAGCAGAGGCTGTGCCAAAACAGGCAGCGGGGTGGAGCTGGGTCCCTTGTGTCCGCACCCCCCCTTGGGGTGCAGGTCCATGGGAGCTGCTCCCCAGGCACAGGACACGTTATCACACAGTCTGGGCTTCAGCTCACCCTCATGAAGTGGCCAGGAGGAGGCTGGCCACCAGCCACGTCCTCCCTCACCAAAAGGCTTCCCAAGGGCACCTGCCTCCATTGGCTGCTCTGCAGAGGTTGTCAGAGACCAAACTAGGGACAAACTCGGAAAGGACAAGGAGATTCCCCAGCTCCTCTATTTATTTGTAAGTTTAATTGCTATTTTTGCCTATTTGTGGTGGTGTATAAAGTATTTCTCAATATTTGGTCTTACTGGCTTCGTTCTTTGGGGGAGGTTTCCAAGGGCATTGCAGCGCTGATGCACCCATCTCTTGTCGTTGGTCAGGGACTGGTTCCTGTTTGTGCCTTTACTCCCCCTTCGGCTTCAGCCACGCTCTTGTCTCCATCCCCGAGAGCCAGCGGGGGGCTGCGTCCCCCCAGCACGGGGCAGGGAGCGGAGCAGGAGCTCGCCCCACGCCCGCAGGCTCCTTGGTTCGCTACCACTATGGTTAGTGATGGATTTCTGCTGAAGGCTGAGAAATTCAGGTATATCATGGCTCCGTGCTGGGCAGGAAATCGTCCTGCTCCATCTTCAGTCATTTCTTCTCTAACCCTCTTGACCAAAAGGTAAAAAAAAAAAAGTAAATAAAATCAGTCCTGGTTGGTGATTTCAGCTTTATTCCTCCTGCAACAGCCGGAGCCCTGGATAAGGGGCAGTACCCTGCTGCTGCCCTATGGTGGGGGGGGAAGGCATCAGCCCAGGCTTTATGGCTCTCACCTACCCCAGCGGTTCCTCTGGCTTGCAGAAGAGGTGCATGAGGGTTTCAATAAAACACAGTAATGCAAATGACACTGTAAACGTCTTAACAAAAATTCCAGTACTCTGTTGTTTGGCAGCTTTAGCAGCTCAACACTATCTTGTAGGGAACTATTAATACACTAAGATCCTATAGGCCTCATGTAAGTTACCAGAATAAAGGTGATACTAGATGTATAAATGGATGATAACCTTTTACCCGTACAGTATGTATTACAATTTTGTAGCTTAGTCATTTTTGGCTATCAGATTTTGTTAGTATGATAAAAAAAAAAAAAAAAGACAAAAAAAAAGGTTTGACTGCTAATGTCTATTTTGTTATTTGATTCATTTTCTTTCTTCCTCTGTACAAAAGCTGTACAAATCTCGGTCTGTGTAACTACTCCAGATATGTATTCATGTACCATCACCCCTGTCCTGGCTTGCTGGTGTGGTGAGCTCATTACTAAATAAAATCTGTGGCTGAAGTCAGGCACCTGCTGCTGCTCTCCCTCCCCGGGAGGAGAAGTGACGGGCACAGGCACACGGCGCTGGTCCTTCTCCCTGTGCCCCAGGTAAGGACCAGACCCTGCATCTTCCCCACCTGTGGGGTGCTGCGAAACAAAGGCAAAGCTGCAGAACTTTGGGCAAGTTTGGGCAGTTCTCTGCTATAGGAAAAGAGGCTGGAGATGGCTGCAGGGGGAGCACAGGGCATGGTCCTTGTCCAGCTTTGTTCTGGGGCTGGGTGCTCTTTGTGGGGCGAGCCCTTAGCTGCTGTTGAGCCAGGGCCTGACTTGGCAGCACCCCATGAAGCAAGGAAACCTCTGTCTGGCTGTGCTTCTCCAACATTTCCACACTCCCATGGGCTGTAGGAGCCTCTGCAGTGCTCTCTGGCAGCAGGAAGCTTTCGGCTGTTCCTGAACAGGGGGGGGAGGTTTGTGAGGTTTGCAGGCCCTGGCCTGATCCCAGGGCAAGGCCCCAAGAAAACTGCACACAACAGGCAATGAAACCACACCACCAGGCCCCGTTATCCCAGGCAGGGCAGTAACTGGGCTGTAGGGTAAGGGCTGTGAGGGGCTTTCCTGCTTTTTTTTTGGGGGGGCGGGAGGGGGTCAAAGCAGCCTAGGGCTTCTTGCTGCTTCAGCAGCACCCTCGCCCTCTGCATTGCAAGGTGCTGCGGTCCCCTACAATTGCTCACTGCATTGGTCACTTTGGGATCAGGGAGTGATTGCATCTCCAACCTGCATGTTTCACTGGCTGGAAGGAGAATAATTCATTTGAGCTCAGCCTGGGAGAAATCTGAGCAGAGGGAGGCTGGTGCCGGAGCTGCTGGCCCCTGAGCCACCAGGCCACCCCCAGGCACCCCACCCCTGGGGGTATTTTCCATGGGCTTTTCTTCCCCAGTCTCTTGCTCCTCACTGCTATCAGAGCCTAAAATGCTGCAGCAGCCCAGGAGGGTGGGCACCGAGACCTGCATGGTGTGGGAAGTCCTCCTTCCACCTCTCATTGAGCACGGCCGTGCGTGTTTGGGTGCCCGAGCCCTGGTGTCTCGCAGAGGTGATGCTGTAGTGCGTGCCTTTGTTTGCAGACATAACGTTTCTGTGCTGTTAATCGTTTGGCGAAGATTAATAAAACATGAAGTTTAAAGATGCCTAAATCGCAGTGGGGGAGCTGGTAATCTCTGCCAACAATAATATTTGCACTTTGTTTTCATCCTAGCGTGGAGCTGTGGAGTGTGGGCCGGGAGCAGCAGTGCCGGGAGTACGCGGAGGGACCTGGGCATGGGGGTGGCAAAGTGGGTGCAGCCCCGGGCTGGGATGGGGAGGGAATGGGAGGTGGCTTTACACAGGCACCTCACCCCAAATCCTGCAGGAGCTGCCACCCCAGGGCACGTCCCTGTGGGATGTCCCCTCTGGAAGGGGTGGATGAACCAGGTCTGAGGGGGCAGCAGGTCCAACAGAGCCCTGAAGGTACAAATCTGCTCCTTCCTTGCAGAAATTGCCTTTGCAGGGGCTGCCTGTGCTCTCTCCCTGCTGCTACCCCAATGCCAGAGCCCCGGTGCTGGATTTGGGACCAGGAGCATCCTTTGTCCATCATAAGGGTATTTCTTCTCCATCTCACTGCTGTCTAACGAGCATCCTTGTCAAAACAGCTAATTTCCTTCCAGAACAAAAAGTCACCTGAATACATTTGGAAGCTGTATTGCGCTATCAGAGTAATCAGAATTTAATTTGATGCAGTCAAGGCTCGAAAAAGATGTTATCAAGGGGAACATCAAAGCCGGATTCCTGCGCTTGGAAATGCAACTGGAATGCTTAGTCCAGATTTCTCATTTTATCGGAGACTTTCAAAACATCAGCCTAAATAACAAAAAAATGAATATTGAGAGTATTTGCAAATTAACGTCTTTTGTAGCTGAACAAAGGCCACTGTCTAACCTACTTCTTTCGCATGTCTGGGATGGTCTCTTAATAAATCCTAATTATACAGTTTTGTTGTGTCTAATTGTTTCTGCGCTTGCAGGAATTAAAACCAAAGCCCATTGCTGCATTTGCTGGCACTGCCCTGATCTTCTGGGGCCTGATCCTGCAAAGTGGGGCTCATCCCACTCCATACCAGGGGTACCTGTGGGTACGGTGATGGGGTGATGGTCAGACAGGGACCTTGCTTCTGCCCTACACCTGTGTGATATCCTCAGGGCTGTCGGTTGCTACCTGTGCTCGGGATGGCTGATGAGAAGCTCCAGCTCTCACTTTTTGGGGAGGTTTTGTTCCACCTGGGAGGCACGGCTGTGTGACAGCAGCAGCAGCTGCTGCTGGGGCAGGGGATGGCAGAGCAGCAACCTTAATCCCATCCACTTCAGAGGTCACTTTTTTTGTGCCAAACCCAGGCTGTTTTGCTGACTGCTCAGTGGGCAGTGGGGTGGCAGCCCCTGCCCGGCAGCAATTTGCCCCTCTCTTTCCTTAGCTGTTATTTCTGCAGAGCTCGAGCCCAGACAGCAGCACCCTCCCACCTGGGGGACCTGGGGACAGCTCCGTCCCCGGCTTTCGCCCTCGGAAACGTCGCGGGGGAGCTTTGGGCGAAAGGAGGTTCAGTCAACTTCGTTAGGGAAATAGCACGGATCTTGTGTTCAAACCTTTTGAAGTGTTAATTAAAAAGAATTATGCAAAGGAGCGAGGATTTGAAACATTCATTTGAATCTCAATAAGGCATCTGTATTAAAAATAGCAGGGGGATCAACCACAGATCCAGCCGCGCCGGAGGAAAAGGGGCGCAAGGGCCGGCGCCGTGGTCGGGGTGCTGGAGGGCAGCAGGTCCTGCCTGCTCCCTGCCCCAGCAAGGTCCTGGCAAAGTGCTTCTTCCCCAATATTTGGGGATTTTGGAAGCATCTCATTTAGAAAGAGCCAGTGAGGTGTGGCGTGGCACTTAGCTCCAAGCACAGAGAGGGTGAGTGGCGTTCCTGGGCCACCAGTGAGGTGGGTGCAGGACTGGGACCAGCCTGGGGGCACCCAGCATCAAGTGTAAGGCACCCTGGGGTGATCACAGCCCCTCCGGACCCCAAACCAACCCTAAACCATCTCCAAGCCCTGGTACAGCACCTTCCAGGGAAAAGCAGGGGCTGCACCTCTCCATCACAGCCCCTCATTAAAACCCCCGGCATGTCCTGGCCCTCGCTTATTCCAATAAAAAGCATCCAGGGCATTAATTACCAGGCTGGCGGATAATGTCGTTAAGTTTACTTTTGTTCCGTGGGGACCCGCCGGGAATGCCAATGCCTCCTGCCCTTGGCGTTGGTGCTGCAAGCGCGTGGGTGCCCTGAGAGGCGTCGGGGTCTGCATGGGGTAGCAGTGCCATGGGGGCACCGGCACTGATGTTTTTGGGTTGTTCCCAGCATCTGAGTGGACTGCGAGGCTGTGGGCTCTCTGTCGGGGTGGGCTTTGCTGGGCAGCAAGGCAGGGAGGTGCATTTGGAGCTGGAAGCAGCTGGGGTAGGGGGCCAGGAACTTCGCTGGGGCTGCCCAGGGACCTGTGGAGGCCCTATGTTGAGAAGCAGCTCCCTGGGAGTTGTGGATTTGGGGCTGAATATGCAGCGATCCCATTGCCACACCTCACCGAGACCAGGGATGCTGCTGGTACCCACAGCAGCCTTCCCAAAGGATTCAGCATCCCTTGCCAAGCCAAAAAACAAAACAAACAAACAAAAAAAAACACTAAAGGTGCCAACTTCAGCTTTGGGAAGGGTGCTGGTGCTGCGTGTCATGGAGCTGGGCAGGATGGGGGGCAGGAGATGGAAATGTCCCCGCTCTGCTCCCCAGGACGCTGTCTTGAGGCTCTGTTTTGGGAGTGCCTCTGCGGGGCTCTCATTAGCATGCAAATAATTCAAGGGAGCGAACGAGAGACAACTGGAAAACCATTTTATCTGTTGCGCCGGAGCAAACTCTTTCTGCAGCACAGCGTTCAAAGCAGCGCACAAATGCAGACAGCTGGCAACACAGATAGATATGTTAAATGCAGGCAGACAGAGTAAATATTCAATATAAGCCATCCTCTATGCCCCAGCAGGCAGGGAACGGAGAGACTTTTATTTTTTTTTGCTCTTTCTATGAATGTGTTTGCGACCAATAGATAGCAGCCCTGGTTTTGCAGGGAATTCTTGCCAATAGTGTATATATCTTGCAAAAGAGCTAATAATAATTTTGGCTCCCTGGGCACACTGCTCTCCCCGTGGTAGCAGTTTTCAGTGCAGAACAGAGCGACCGAGCGTGGCCTCACTGCCAACAGCCTGGAAAACCAGGGGTTGTTTTGCTGCAGCCCTCTTTGCATCCAAAGCCTCGCTGCTCCAAGCGTGGGAAATGGACTGAAAAGTTCTTTTTTCCCCCTAAAACTCAACGTTTTCCAGCTCAGGAAGCAGACCCTGATACCGTCTCCTCTTGGGTTTTTCTCCCACGGTTTCTTGCCCTGGATTTTGCTTTCTGCCCCCCGCTGCAGCCCCATACCTGCAAAACTCACCTGAAGCATCCAGGGGCAATGTCCTGCAGGGCTTCCCCAAACCGTCCTGCTCTTGATCTATAATTCAGAAACCATTTTGTTTTGTCTCGGTAGTTTTCACCAGCAATTTGCTGCAGCTAAGGAATACAATGCCCCTTTAGGAAAGAAGAACTAAAACTCACTCTTTCAATTAAATTTCTCCTGACCTTACTAAAACTTTTTTCCCTATTCCCTGTTCTAAAGAAGCAGCGTTTTTTTTTTTGTGATCTCCAATTCCACTGAGAGACAGAATAAATCAGCATATCAGAGAAAACAACGATTCTTGTGATGCCCAGCAGTCACTAATTAACAAATTAAAAAAAAAAAAAATCTTTATGCAGATATAATTATTTTCTGACTATGTTGCCTTTTCTTTTGTCAGCACTGCGACAAGGAAGTTCTTTATTTCTACCGCGAGATCAGATTAAAACATCCCTCTCACACCGCATTCTCCTCGTCGGATGTT